ATATGTTTATTCTATATTCGAAGGCGACACGCAATGATGTATCAAATCTGACATGGTTCGATCCGTGGACTGTGAAGTCTCGAGCCCTGAGCACTGTCGGGTCTCTCATCCTGCGGTACAAACAACATCATGGGTGGAAGTCAATTCCTATTGTGTTCCTTCACTATTTCTGCCTGGCCGGGGTTCATGCAATCTCGCAACTAGAACCTCAGGAGCCGAAATGGAGTCTTATCTTGGAGAGCTGTGTGGTGGGTCTCTGGCATATGAGTCTTGGTTGGGGCAGGCTGTGCACAGCGTTACTCCGGACGATTGAGCTTGTACTCAGGGCGAGCAAACTCGACGAGTCGCTCATACCCACGAAGGTGACCATGATTTTTGAACAACTGGATACCACTCTTTGGTCTGCCACAGATATTTCCTCTCTGTCTGCAGACTATGTCGTACATCATGTTCCAGTTCGAACTAGCGAGTCCGCCGCAGGATCCGAATTCAAGGCCGAAGGGCTAGAAAACCTGATCCGTAGCATGGATCATCTTTCTATGAACTGATCGAGGTCGACGTCATGATCTGGGACTCGCTTTCCATTGCTTCGCGCTTATCTCAGTACAATGGCCGAGTTGGTCTTTGCCGCTATAACCTGCTTCGTTGAGGTTCGTGTCCAGAGCTGCAGATGTCCCGCATGGCATCAACTGCCCGACCTTTCAGAGGGCCCATTTGTGAATGGACTATACAACATATGAAAATGGCCAATTGGAAGGAAATAGTCAGAATTATGCATTCTCATCAAATTGACCACGACCAATGACTAGTTGGCCGGCCAGAGGGAGTCAATCTCCATGGCAGTTCTAACATCAAACGCTTGCTCATTCTGGGTATCATTGATCATCATCTAGCATAGTAGCAGGGTCATCACCGGGGTTTATCGGATCCTGTGAAGCGGACGCCTGGTGGATCTTCATCCTTGCAGGCAAAGTCCGACCGTCCCCCTCCTTATCGTTTACACTCAAGCTTTCTTCATTAACTGTTGCGGATGAACATTCGGCCTGGTCTTTATGGATGGCATTTTCGTCCGACACCTGCGCATTCGTCTCAACATGTCTATCGTTCTGTCGCCAATGAAGGAGTTTGTCTTTTGAATCATCTAGCGTCTCATGCAGGGCTCGCAATTTGTGCTTCGTCCGAACGTATCCCTCCATGCCTGCAAGAATGGTGTACGATTTTGTGATGGAAACATGGGACATATCCACACCTTGATCCTGCAAGGCATGAACGAAGGCGCGAAAATTAGCCGACGGCGGACGGTAATGGCCACTAAAATGTAAGTATTTATTCCTGTCTCATCTGTCGAGAGCGAAGAGAGGAACATTAATTTACCTCAAAGGTGTCAGACTACGTAGCTGACCGTTCCAGATTTTGATCAAACCTGCCGCCGCCACGCGCGCACCCCGTAGAAATGAGGAATGCTGGAAGGCTCCCTTTTCCTTGATACCGATGTACAGACGAAATGAAGTGTCTGCGACCTGCACCACCGTCAGTCATGGATCGCTCTGGGCCCTGATGATAGGAAAAAGTCGTCTCACAAATAACCACATGTCCTTTCTCTTTGCGGGCTTGCGAGCAAAATGGTCGCGCACCACCGATGGTGTGATATGGGCTAATTTGTGGATCCCTTTTGCTTCCTCATAACGTTGGTTGATTTGTCCGCTGGGGCTATCATCCGCTGAGTCTTCATCAGTGGACGACTGACTTGATATGGAAGACGAGCTTGACGCATACGCAACCGGATATCCAGCCTCAGAATGACCTCTAAATCGTGGCGCATCCTCATCAATTGAGACAATACCCTGGAGACTATCCTTGAAGCGTGTACTATCAGTGGACACAAGCTCGTTGTTCCTTGCCCAGCGGAAGAGACCTGCCTGGTCTACCGTAACCAGATAATTCAGCCGCTCGTCTCGGTTGAGATAGCGCACTTGCTGGTGCTCCAGCTTCGCATGGGGACATTCAGGCAAATCTAAATCTTTCCCCTCGCCATGATCAAGCCAGTAGAAGAAATTCTGGGTTGAGGGACAGTTTTTCCAATAATTGTGATACTTGCGTAGGTTGCTGCCATGACGATGCTTGAGATCAACCATTTCGAGAAAGTACCGTTGGTCCATCATCTTGGCCATCTTCTCAGATGGTACTCCGTGGTGGAGTTTGGGAAATGAATGGAGAAATCGCGATCTGGAAGTGGAAGAAGCATGCGCTGGCGCATTTTCGGAGGATGGTCCTGTAGCCGTTGGACTAGCTGTGTGCGGTTTTGAAGAATCGGTCTCGTTCCTGTACTTGCCGTCATCACTGCCGACTTGCATAGCGACGCTGACGACTCTGTCCCATTTTTGATGCACTTGTTTGGAGGCATCTGCGCCTTCGCCCTCTGGTGAAACGGAGGGACGATAGAGCTGGTGCCATCTTGCTTCCTTTAAGGCCTGACAGAATAAGTAAGGAGTCTGGTCAGAATGAGATCCTCAAGAGGGCATTACCTCAGACCATCGCGCAGATGCATTCAGCCCCAGCCCATGTAGTTCACGTCGTGTTCGATATCCGCGATAAGTCCTCTACATCGTCAGGTTAAACATGAATAACACTTGAAAAAATAGCTAGAACAAAAGCTGTTTATGGCAACTAAATAGAAGATGTACTTCGTACCTGAATAAGACGAGCTGCTTTCTCCCGATCCGCTACTGTGACGTCATTGTTCCTGGCGACTTCTGTCCCATCGGTCGCGGTGGGGGGAGGAAGGCCAACACCAGACGTAGCAGCTGGCGCTGCAGAGGGCACCGCAGCGTTGTCTGCTATATTTTCAGCCATGTGAGGGAATCGAGATCATCAAAGGCGAGTTATCTGGGAGAAGACGGGGAAAAGGTATGGAGTAGATCAAGATCTCCAAGGAACTCTGTGGCAGCCAGACGAGGAGTTACTGGTGCCAAGGACGGAGATCATCACGAGCCCAGGCACTCAGGCACTCAGGCTCTCCAGGCAGCCATTCAGAGCACGCTCCACTGGTGTCAGCGCTCGCTTAATGGTCGAAGGTGGTCATACGGCATCATTCTCGCACTCGCACTCACATGGACCTGTTCCTTGCACTGGTGAGTGGTGACTACTGTAAATGGACCGAGTTTGGTGTGAATAGCATTCAGCAAAGCAAAGAAAAGCGTGGCTTGAGAGCACACTTCAAATGAGAGTGAGGTCAAGAGCCTGATGATGGCATCGTACTCAGCGAAATGCGAGAGTCATCTCCAGTATGGCCTGTTCTCATACAGCAACTCCATATTTGCCCACCCGGCCCGTGACAATTACACCGACGCTGTCTATAACAACCCTCCGTCTTTAGAGCGCTCATGTTCTTCCATGACTTCAATTCCATATTACTCGAGGGACGACACCAAACCAGGCCTACCTTCATTTTCCAGCATTTGAAAGTCGTTATTTCGGTCTGCCTCGATTACTCTGACCCAGAAATAAGAAGAAGTGATAGGAAGTGATAGCGCAGAGGCCTCTCCCATGTGGATGTCGGCATACGTGGAATTAAGAACGCTTCATGTCAAGCACATCACATCAGTCCGTATGAGTCTGCCCTTTCCCAGTACGGAACGGAGAAAAAGTGCCGAAAAACCTCGAAAAGCTCGATTGTGCCCCTTGGACTCTGTCTCATTACTTTACGGCACAGACGCTACAGCTATGAACCCGACCTCGGGCGCACACTTCCCTCCGTGACCATCAAGGCATTCCCAAGTATAGGACGTGCGGCAAATCCTTGCGGTCTGCGTGCAGCGTCACATGGGTCATGGCAGTGGCTCTGCGTAGGACTGAGATAATAGGCCCCGGCAACATGATGTCATGGATGAAAGCACTAGCATACTGCCTTGGCTTGCCTGCAGATTGCCTAAAGAGAGTTTCGGATTATGGCCACACTCCGTGAATTAATTCAGTATTGTGCTAGACGGGAACTATCGACATTCTCCCGGGAGTTAGTCTTCTTCGCAGGCTGAACCTCGAGGGGCTTGTGCCTGGTCCGATGACTCTTCCCAGCGTTCAAAATATTATCCACCAGTTGTCACGGCGTAGAAGGGCATCGTCATTTGTGGAATACCACCGAAGTGAGACTATCTATCACGGAGATATGCCAGCCTGAGATGTTTCAATGACGAATTTCATTTAATAGCCTATATTGCGCAATAGCGTCTGATCCCCTCAGAATCCTTGCTCATATGACCCACGGCATCTGTGACAGTGGGATGAAACAGGGGGAGTTTCTTCAGGGTTCCCGGCAAGGGATACCGAATACCCGGGCATGCAATTTGCGGGGTGATCTCAGAATTGGTTGAACCTTTCCTTTCTTGATTCGGACACAACAGGGTATTCTGTGAAGTGTGAAGAGTAAATGCACAAACAGCCAACAGTTGCAAGGATTTCTCTGTGGGGAAATCAGACTAGTCATGCATCATCCTCTATATGCACCTATCTTCGGCACATCAACATCCCTGCCGTTGTCCATGACCTTCGACACTGACCTGGAGTCTTCGTGTCTATCCTGCCATTCTGTCGTTCTTATGGTGCAGTCTGGCCTGGGGCCATCCAAGTTTCCGACGATATATTTTAATTGATATATGGTGCATTATTCACCGGGAATTTTCACTTGCAGCGTTTAGGCCTCGTTTGCATGCTACATCACTGCTGCGCAATTTATCCCGCTCAACGAGGCGCCTAGACGGCCTATTCTACTGGGTGCATGGACTTGATTGTCTTCTGGCACCCAGTATGTCACGGTCCGGTCCTGGAACGGATTAGAATATCCAGTCTCATTTGCTGTAACACCGGCTAAAATGAATGGTTATGATATAAAGCCACTATTCTCATGGCTCACTCAAACGTTCTATTTCTTCGACTGGAAGCAATCTACTTCACTCTCTGTCTATCACTTCTACCGATTGTACAAGCACCTACCACCATTCAGCATGAGACACGTTCAATCCACTCAGCTGCTTGCAGCACTTCTCTTCACCACTCAAGTCGCAGCTCATGGCCATGTTACAAACATCGTGATCAACGGTGTTTCGTACCGTGGATGGGATATTAATTCTGATCCCTACAATTCTAATCCGCCGGTGGTGGTGGCGTGGCAGACCCCCAACACGGCAAATGGCTTCATCTCCCCAGACGCGTATGGAACGAACGATATCATCTGTCACCTCAACGCCACCAACGCGCGCGGGCATGCTGTGGTCGCTGCCGGCGACAAAATATATATTCAATGGACAACTTGGCCGGATTCCCACCATGGACTGGTATGTCTTCTTCGTCCTGGCCGGGCTCCGCTCAATAACGGACCCGTGATGCGAGCTAGGTCAAGATATCTGTCGAACAATTGGTTATGATATTAACACAGTACAGGTGATTGACTACCTGGCTAGCTGCGGTTCGAGCTGCGAGACGGTAGACAAGACGACTCTGGAGTTCTTCAAGATTGATGGTGTTGGATTGGTGGATGACTCAACCCCACCGGGGGTCTGGGGCGACGATCAGTTGATCGCGAATAACAACTCGTGGCTTGTGGAGATCCCCCCGACGATTGCACCGGGCTACTATGTCCTTCGACATGAGCTGATCGCTTTGCATGGAGCTGGAAGTGAAAACGGAGCCCAGAACTACCCCCAATGTTTTAACCTTCAGATTACAGGATCAGGGACGGCGCAACCATCCGGTGTGCAGGGTACAAAGCTCTACTCACCCACGGATCCGGGCATTCTGGTCAATATCTATACCTCGCTTTCGACGTATATAGTTCCGGGCCCGACTCTCATTCCCGGTGCTGTGTCAGTCGTGCAGTCCAGTTCTACCATCACTGCTTCGGGAACGCCTGTGACCGGCTCTGGAAGTGCCCCAACTACCAGCGCGCCGACAACCACAAAGGCAACTACAACACTGTCCACGACAACCACGGCTACGACGACCAAAGCTACGACCACGGCGGCCGGTTCAACTTCTCTTCAATCGGTCTACGGCCAGTGCGGTGGCAGTGGATGGTCTGGGCCCACAGCCTGCTCTACCGGAGCCACATGCAGTTCCTACAACAGCTACTACTCCCAGTGCATTCCAACCGCCTCCTAGGTGAGTCGAGAGCTTTAGGAAATGGTGGGGCCTGTAACACCGTTGTGTACATGGATCTAGGTAGTTTGACGAACAGATAACAAATCAACTATGGAACATGTTTTGTTCTTGATTTCAAGCCTGGTCCACCCATTCTGTAGCGAACCTCCAGTAGCTCCTGTTTTTGGCAGACTGGGGTGAGCTTGCCGGACAACCTTGTATGATTGTCTACACCTTCTAGATCTTCCTGCCTGTTATTGGGGTGGTAGTCGCAGGGGGAAGTACGTCTTTCCATCGAGGATATATAGGTTAATGAGGAAGTGCTGGATGCATGTTTGATTATCCGGTAGAAAGTAGGACGTTTGTACAACGTTAATTTGTCAGCAATTTCGTCGTTCCTGACACTTGGACACGTTGGTTGCGAATAGAGAATTGAGTCTGACGACCCATTCAGCCATCTCTCGCATATGGATAGGACGATGGCATTTTGAGCTGACTCTTTTAGTTCTAGGGATATGGTGCTCTAAAGCAGCTGGATCTTTACACGAAGACACCCTTGATATCCTGGAATACGGCACGCCGCTCCCCCTCAGCGGCAGCAGCTTTAGCCCAGCGACCGGCCTCCTTGTCCAGTTCCCATGGAATGCGCCAGAAGCTGGTTTTTTTACGCCATTGTCAGCCCATCTTTCACACTCCCCAAGCAGGCACTGCCACAGATTTTTGTTCTTGAGGGGTTCTCCGGTTCCTGTCTTCTACCCTCTGTGAATCCAGCCTTGGGTCCAGTAGGTCGCGACTTCAACAACGTACTCTGAATCCGTCGCAAAGACCAGGCTCCGGCACCCTTCTCCATCCCAACTGCGGAATCTGAATGCTCCAATGACGCCCCGAAGCTCAGCACAGTTGCTGGTATGCTTATTGGACTGACCTGTCGGCCCTTTCTCCTCAAGTTGAATCGATATATGGCCAGGCCTGTTAACTGTAGAGGGCTTGAATACAAAGGCACAGCCTCCTTTTGGATGACCAGCGCCATTGTTTAAGCAAGCTCCGTCGGTGAAGATAAGGAATTCAGACGGTTGGTTGGGATTGATATATCCCCTTTTCCGCGGAAGATGATTACGTATTTCGCCCTGGATGATTAATCTCGCCTACTCGAAGGGCAAATATGGAACATATCTCATGCTAGACACAACCGATGGTTGGTTTTACCCGTTCTTGATCTTTGCTATAACAACAGCCCTCTCACCAATTTATAAGCACAGCGACAGTCTGTGAAATTTTGGAAGTTACTTTGATCTCGTCTATGCGCTACTAGCATCCATTTCCTGGTGATATTTGTCTGCATTCGAAGCCTGAATTGAATGATGATGATGACTTTCTTCGAGTAATATAAAAAGCAATAATTGAAGCTGAGTTATCCAAGTTTATGTTGTAGCCAGCTATCAACCAAACTGTGGACAATGCAAATCGTCTATGGAGCGTGGCCATTGCTCCCTTCATACAGCAATCCGCTTCCAGATTTCCGCCCAAGAAGCCCTCGATCCACGTATCTTTCCTTCAACCACTCGATAGGCTTCGTATCCAGCCCTCTCTCCTCCACATAATGCTTCTCAATGTTGTACACCGTATCCAGACCCACCCGATCCATCATCTCACACGGCCCAACCTCAGCATGAAACCAACCCTTGAACAGTTGGTCAATATCTGCCGCCGTTCCCACACCTTCAGCCATAACTAATAGAGATTCTCGCTTGATTGCAGCCCAAATCCGATTGAAGATCAGCCCCGTGGATTCGACCTTGACATGGATGGGGACGAATCCCGCTGCTGAGGCCTGCTCCATTAAAAAGGCAATGACGGATGGATCCGTGTATCCGCAGGTCATGATCTCAAGATAGTTCTGGTCCGGAGGCATGTAGTAGTGTCCGTTACACACGCGGTATTTCCGCGTGACGTGCTGGATCATCTCACTGGACTTATACGAGGAGGAGTTGGTGGCCAGAATACAGTCGGGTGATGTGAGTTGGTCCAGTTGGCCGAATAGTTCAATTTTCAAGGGAAGTATCTCTGGAATCGCTTCGATAACCATCCATGCGTTCTGCACTGCATTCTCCAGAGAGGAGCAGAGTAGTACGTTGCCTTGCTTCGTGCCGAGTTTGGTGGACTGTTCGGGCATGGCGTCGTTGATGTACTTTAATGCCGCGCTGGCGACTTCAGGGGCTTTTTCGTACAGATGAACAGTATGTCCTGCTGCTGCCCACATCATGCATAGTCGACGCCCCAGAACCCCGCCGCCTATCACGGCGACAGGGCGGATGGTTGTATCGGGCTCGATCCATGAGGTTGAGATCATGGTGATAAAGTTGTGGTAGCCTGGCAGGGTTTATTCTGAGACGGAATTAGAGAACAGAGTGCTCTAGCATTGAGAAGGAGCAGACCTCCAACAATTGCTATAAGTACAGAATCAGGCATGCAAGAAATTACGGCCCCATTGGCATCATTGCAGTGATTTAGTTTTGATATAGTACCGCGGACCCCACAACCCCCACGTCCCACATGGCTTACCCCAAATTCACGTGACAATTTACTCTAATCACTTGATTGGCTCGTACCTTGTTCTCGGACATCGTTTAGTGTTGGGGAGGTGGGGTAACGTACATAATGGCCTCCTCTCCCACATATTGGGGCTAATCTGTCCTACAGCATCCAATTCTACCCTTTTCATCGACCCCATTCATCATGAATGATGGCAACTCCGTCTGGGGCTTACTTGCCCACCCGACCATCACCCATTCTTGAGCCAATCCCCCACTACCCCAGCAATGTCGTCCCAGAAGAGCGGGTCACATTACGCATGGCCATCATCTTATCCAATGGTTGTAATTTCAACCATCAACAGCTCAAGTCTGCCAGATCGCAGAGGCTAATGGTGTGGCACAGGGGTTCGCGTAGACCATCAATTCACATTCCCCGCCATGAACATCGCCAACTGCATCATCCACGGCGAAGGGGAAATGTACTCGGTAGAAATAACCCACCGATGCACCTGCCGACGTCTATTGCATGAGGAGCTCGTCCGGATGCTCCCCGGGTTCCTACGCGAAAATGACGTGTATTGGTTCCGCACCAGGAACCCAGAGACAAACATCCAGCATACATGCTTATTCGACGGCGCGGAACTCGAAATGCAGCTCGTGACCTCGCACGTCCCCGAATGTGGCATTTGCTTTGCGCGACGAGCGTTTATTGCCGAGCGGGATGCCTTTGACCGGCAACAGAGCCAGATGCCTCGGGTATCGGCATCGTCGACTTCCCCGCGCGCCCAGAGTCTGAGCTCTGGGTGGACGTTCCGTGAACCGTCGGATACGGAGCGACTACGGGTGAATCGTCATGGTTGGGAGATTATGTTTGTTCTTCATCCTGATGCGCGTGAGGGGGCGGTAACTATCTCGAGGTTGAGGATGGAACTGTGTCGGTTGCTGTCCATTGCTGACCCGAGACGGATCATCTTGACGAGTGGCCCATTCACCTGGGGAGGCGATTTCCAGGAAGACAGTAAGGATTACTACAGTACGTATTTTGTAAATGATTTGATCGTCGAGTCGCGGAGTATGAAGACGCCGAGGGGCAGCGCTCTCATGTACGTACTCGAGGCAGATCAAATAGGACGACCATTATAGCAATCATTTTAACCTATCAAGAATCTTTCAACCTTATAAAAGAAAGAAACCATTCAAGAATGTGCACCGTAAAGCCTTAAAGCCTCCCCACGTACTAGGTTACATCTATTTACTATGCACAGACCGGGTGGACCAGCCAACCCCGCAGCGTCGCCCCCACAGGGTTTGTCCAGAGTTTACCTCTCGTATGTTCGTCCTTGGCGAAAAGAATGAAAGTGACTGGGGTTTAAGAGATCAAAAATCGTAGTTCACCCCATGAGTGCTTCCAGACTCTGAACTTGGACTCTCCCCAACTGACACCCCACCAGCAATGTTGACTGTTGCCGAGAACCCTACCCGTCCCCACCGTTGTGTTTACTGCGGCCTCTGCTTCAAGCGATCAGAACACCTGAAACGCCATGTGAGGAGGCGTACGTCTTGGCCTCTTTTGAACACTGTCAAAGACTTGATGAATTTCTTGCTGACAGTTAATGTAGACACCAAGGAACGGCCTTTCCGTTGTCGAATATGTGGGGAGAGCTTTTCCCGAAAGGAATTGCATGACCGGCACCAACGCACCCGCCATGGCGCGACTTCAAGCATCCCATTACCAGAAATTGTAGAATTAGAGCCATCTGTAGCTACTCATCCGGATACTTACTCGCCAGGGCAGGTTGATCCAGTTCAAGGTGACCCGTCGAGTCAACCACCATTCGCCTCCTTCGTCGAGGAGCCGGCGGAACCACCATTGCACGCTCCTTTAGTGCCAGAGACACAGCGACATGAAAATCTTTATTTGGCGGGGGCTCCAGGTAGTCCTGCATTCCAGGAAAATGCGTATTCTGTGATCTCGGATCGGCGTCGAGACTCTCGACTCCAGACGCCTCTAGGAAGTGAGACTCCTCCGTGGCTGAAATTACCCAGCGGGCTGGAGTTCGCATCGCTTCTCTCAGCATTGAATCGATCTCCATTATCTACGAGTCTTCCGACACCACTACGGCTGTGCACACCGCAGAGTGAGGCGATCTTTGAACATGACCGAAATGAGACGGCCCGCTTGGGGATCGAAAAAGCGCTTGAGGGTTTGAGGGTGCGTTCTGCGGATAGGAATATCGGATTATGCTGATTCAGTCAGAGTATCAATGTCGCAGGGGGCGGGGAATATTCCCATCGCTTCAAGATCCCTGAGATGGATTCTCTCTACCGCTACTGGCACATGTTCTTCGAGATACCCCATAAGAACCTTCCGTTTGCTCATCCGAAGTCAGAAAACTATCAAATACCGGGTATAAACATCCTTTCTGTTTGAGTATATTCCACTAACACAAAGTAGCTATTGCTATTGGTGTTCTCGCCGACGGTGCCATGTACTGTGACGAACCCGAGGTTGGTCAAATGCTGTTCGAGGCCTCCCGTCGCCTTGTCGCTCACCACGTAGGTCCAATGTGTTCTCCTCAATGCACAGACTTATCAATTACAGTTGAACACGCTTTATAACCGCGAAAACAATACTATACCTATCTGGATCTTCACCACGCTCTTGCTGAACTGTGTCTTTGGTCTGCCCGGGGGCAAGTCTAGTGAGAGCGACATTACCCTTGGCAGCCTTGACAGCTTGATAAACCTCGCGCGAGTTATCGAATCGGGCCCGGCAATGGATCTTGTCGATCAGGCATCGACAGTGGAGGAGAAATGGAAGAGTTACATCGAGGGAGAATCTCACCGCAGGTAAGCTATGCGTACCACTAGCCCCGGCGTTGCTGACCTTAAGATCAATTCTTTGCTTCATTGTTGTTAGTGGTTTGTGGTCGGTGGCATACGAGCCGATCGTCAATGTCCTGGACTTTCCATTCAGTCTGATCGAATTCCCCTGGTCGGAGACTTTGTGGAATGCTCGTTCCGCCGTCCAATGGCATGCACTATATCAGAACCCGCGAAGTCGATCGCCTGGCAGCTGGTCAGAGAATGTGGAGGCGCTGCTGTTCGGCAAACCCCAGCCATTAAACGGTCTAGCCTCTCTTTGTCTTGTAGTCGGGCTCCTACTCTACATAGATGGGCTCCGTCGGGAAGCAGTTCTCGACGTCGTCGAGATAAACTCATACCTTCAACATGCTTTAGATCAATGGTTTCAGATCCATGACCGAACGAGCCTGGAGAATCTGGCCCTCAATCATCTCTGTTATCCAGCTGCCTATTATCTGCGCATCTCCCTAGTCCTGGACATTCGGCAGACAATGGATCTCATGCGCAGTAAGCAGTTTGCAGCCATGCGAAAGGTACTCCGTGAGGGCGATTTGGTGCAAGCGGCTGCCTTTGCGCGAGCCGCGATGATTCCGTGGGTGATCAGCCGCCGGAATCAAACGTCCATGGTCGCAATCCCATGCGGTAAGCCATATCCTTTGCGTCATATAAACTATACTGACTTTCCAGGGGTGGTTATCGCCGAGTGGGCTATTGACGTGATGGACAACCAGCCCGAGGATTCGCCTCAACGGGAAGTGCTTCGGGGGTTTGAGAACTCGATTCGCGAATATTGGCCTGTAGCACACTTTGTAACTGCTGTGGATGTCTGGAGGGCAGTTCGGAGAATTATTGCTAATGGACCAGGTATGTCGCTGGTCCTCCGGGTTTGCAATACTAACAGTTGCAGTTACAACGGCTTTAACAAGGAGTATGGACGCATACGAGATGTCTCTAGCATTAGCTTAATTCAAGGGATAAGGATTTCTTTTCAACCAATAGAAAGTGTAGCCTTTATAAATCGAATCACCCTGCATCATGCCATGCTCGGCGAATAATACGAGACTTACTCCGGCACCTGCTGATAAATCGCATCTGAATTCCCTCTCAGCATCAAGAATACCGGTATTTAAACTTCACTACCGACGCCAGCCACGCCACAGCAATACCTGGCAGGCTGGGCCACTGGAATGACACATGGGAAGCGGAATAGCCCCGTCAAGAGCCACCGGGAATCCAGCCCATGGCGGGAATACCCCACAGTCTGGGGTAAAAGTTGGGGTAAGCGATCAACACGGGGAAACTGGAAACCCATCGATATAAGTAGATCTCGACACCCTGCATCTCCTTCTTCCTTTACCATGGTTGTTGCATCTCATGTACTATCACCATGTACACAACCGACACCGATATCGAGAAACCCACCACAATGGGCGTCGAGCATGTGGCCGAAACGCCCGTGTCCGGGTCCGTCAGCGAAAAACACTCCCAGGATGCGGAGCAAATTCCCCACTTCACGCCTGAGCAGGAGAAACGGGTCCTCCGCAAGATGGATCTGCGGTTGATTCCCATGCTGTCTATTTTGTATCTATTGGCCTTTTTGGACCGCGGCAATATTGGGAATGCGAAAATCGAAGGATTGGTTGAGGATCTGGGGCTGACATCGCAGGAATATAGCTGGTGTTGTATGTTTTATCTCTGGAAGTAGGGAGATCTGCTGACGATATCCAGTGACGGTGTTCTTTTTCACGTACTGTGCGTTCGAGATGCCGAGTAATCTACTGCTCAAAAAGTTGCGGCCGTCGAGATGGTTGCCGTTTTTGATGATTGCTTGGGGAATTGTCATGGTATGTTTGCCGCGATTGGGGAAAAGTACCTGCTAATGAAATAGACGTTGATGGGCGTTGTTCACAACTATGCCGGGCTTTTGTCCGCGCGTATCTTCCTCGGTGTTGCTGGTGAGTTTGCAACAATATTGATATGCGATTATTGTACTGACCTGCGCAGAGGCTGGTCTATACCCTGGCACCGCCTACTACATCACCATGTGGTATCCCCGTGAAAAAGCCCAATATCGACAGGCTCTCTTCTTCAGCTCGGCCAGTATCGCCGGTGCCTTCTCGGGACTTCTCGCTTACGCGATTAGTGTATGTCTCTTTGCCCTTTGCAATGGCAAAAGCTGATGGAGAATAGAAAATGGACGGTGTGGGCGGGTATGCCGGCTGGCGGTGGATTTTCATCCTGGAGGGACTCCTCACCGTTGCGGTCGCCCTTGTCGCCCCCTTTGCGATTCATGACTTCCCCGAGACCGCCACCTTTCTGACCGAGGAAGAGCGCCGATGGGTGATTCACAAACTGCGGTCTCAATCCGGACGAGACACCACGCAAGACGGGACAGTCCATGAGGAATCGCGCTTCTGCGTACGCTACGTGATTGATGCGTTGACGGATTGGCAGATCTATGTCGCTTTGTTTAGTATGTTTCCACCTCTGCGTTGCTCGACGACTCGGTAGACTAACTGATCAGTGTACTGGGGGATCACCACCCCTCTCTATGGTATCTCGTACTTTTTGCCGTCCATCATCAAGGACTTGGGGTACAAGTCTTCAACGGCGCAGTTGCTCACGGTGCCGATCTACATCGCGGCGGCCATTGTGGCTGTCGGTGCGGCCTGGCTGTCGGATCGTCGCAAGCAGCGATCTCCGTTCATTCTCTTCTTCATGTCGCTAATTGCCATCGGCTTCATCATTGTCATTGCCTCCACCGGTCGGGGAGTACCAGGGGTTGTCTACTTTGGTGTTTTCGTCGCTGTCATCGGTAAGTTTTCCCCCTCGGAAAAAGCAACCAGTCTGACAAGGCTAGGTATCTATCCTGCTTTCCCAGGAAACGTCACCTGGCTCAGCGTCAACCTGGGCGGCGACTACAAGCGTGCGGCCGGAATGGCCATCCATATCGGGTTGGGTAATATGGCCGGCGGTACGTTTCTTGTCGATGCTTTATAAATGAAAAATACTAATGTTTGCAGCCATGGCATCCAACTTTTACCGCGCGCAGGACGCACCCAGGTATATTCTGGGCCACTCATTGGAGCTGGGGTTTGCGGTGGTCGGAATCATTGCAGTGGTGATTCTGCGGTTGTCGTATCAGCGCATCAACAAGAAACGGGATCAGATGGATATCTCGGGCTATGATAATGCTCAGTTGGCCAGGATGGGCGATCGGTCGCCTCTGTTCAGATATATGCTGTGATGGCTGACGAGGACATTGGTAGAGTCACTATGTGATAATGGGCAATGAGAATTTGTTACGACTCACGAGCGATGTAACCAAATCAACTACCTAAAAAGGAGTTCGGATTTAAGCGAGATGAATTTTGTCGAGTGATGATTGGTTGGATGAGAGACCCTGCGGACCCTGTACTAAGCTATTCTCCTCGAAGCTTTCTACCAAAAAGGCATAGTTTCAGGCACCAGAGGCACTAGTTGTCTTAGGACATATTTAGCTGCGCTCTAAACGGCCACAGCTGAGTCCAGGCTCGTTTCTGTCCTTGGCAGTGCAGATTCAGATTGCACAGGAATTGATTGAATGAGGATGAAAGAGTTTTTATCGCAATCCTGTCTGTAGTCAGATTCAGTGTTTGGCAGTGACTAAAAGGATTAATCATATCCAGTCCTTCCCAGGGTCCCCTAGATAAATGTGTACAGTATCTGTGTGAATCAGGTCTGCGCTATATGAAGATTAGCTAGCCTCCTTAATCAAGGGGCTCTGGAACTGGAAGCTAAGCTAAGATAGTACTCTAAACTAAGTCAAAAGCATAGTAACAACCATAGCTGATTCGCTGTGTCTCACATGGCCTAAGGCGCTCTTCCTTTTCTTAAATGAGGCTCTCATACCCACATTCAACTTCTTAAATCTGTCTACTTACTACCCCTCAACAATTTACACCATCATGGCGGGCACCGCCTCCCTCCGCGGAAGAGACTGGATTCACTTTGGCCTGCGCATCCTCTTCTGCGCATCCGCGATTGCTCTTCTGGCCGTCACAGCACGCCTAGCAACAGGATGGGGAGGAGACAATGAAGAACCGCCGATTGTGCTTCCCTTTTTTCTAGCAACAGTGCGCCACACACTTTTTTTCCTTTTGGGCAAAATCTAACCTGACTGCAGGCTTCTCTGGCTATCGTCACAGACATCCTCGCTCTATTCTTGCTTTTCCGGTATATAGGTTTCATCACGGCGATGGCCATCCTCGACATCCTCATCATCATCCTCTGCGCTATTGGGGCTGCCTCCCTTACAACGGGGGACTTTGCTTTCTACTGGGGTCTTTTCTACCATGATTACCCGTCAGTGTTGGAGCAGGCGGAGGTTATCGTCTTTGCGTTGAATATTCTTGTTGCGTAAGTGTTCCTATCGCTGCGTATGGATTGAGACTGATGAGGTGGTTGCAGATGGGAGCGGATTCTTTCGATCATTTTGTGCTCTGTTTCTCGTAGGGGGCGGTTGGTGGATGAGGGTGATAAGGAGGTGCCGATGCAGGCGCAGCACTGCTACCAATAGTGTGCTTCTGGATGTCCCTTAATACTGCATACTGCATTTAATGAGAATACTGGCAACTTCTGAAAGATTCGTCTCATCATCTTAAACTTGATTTACAACGATGTCCCCTCCGCCATGACCTGTGGCACCGCCAACCGCCGTCCCTGTTCATCGCAGACCTTGACAACCCTCGGCGTAATCACCATCCCCTGTCTTCCGGGGTAATCCCCGACGAACTCAAACGTACAGGGCTGTGCAAACAACCACCGACCCACACGAGGCGTCATCGGGCAATCGTGGGCTCCAGGTTCCTCCTAGTTATTGTGACGTAGATGCAGAAGCTTTGTTGTTGATGGGATCATGGGTACCTGTGCGTCAAGACTCGGGTACGCCTACTACAACTTTTGGACCGAAATGACGACTACTGTTACTTTCAGAGTGGACATGCCTAGCATGGCGCCTAGTTTTCCCAATCGGAAGCTTTGATATTCATCGACTTCTAGGCTTCGTCAAGGTATTGCTTTTATAACATATATCTACCATACCGGCTAAGTAACGGGAGAAGCACAAGGACAAGGACAAGGCCTAGCCACGCTACCCCGTTTCCCCTCCTGGCGTGATATTGTCTCCAGCGATCTTTCGACGGACCCAGGATTGTAAACCCACGTATTTCCCCGCCTGCTATTGTCTCTGACGCTGCATCTGCTGGGAGATCTCCAGCATAGGGGGCGTAAGACCCAGCGTCCAATCTATACTGACGATCCGTGAATGAGAAACGAAACAAGACATGTTCAGCTTCCAGAGTAGATGATTTAGCCATTTGTAGTGCACCGATCTCCTTATCATATTCAGTTCCTGTAGTTCAAACACATACGACCATAGGGTGTGGAAAACAGGGCTTCCCGTCCGCTCAGCCGTACTTAAGCCACACGCCGGCCGGTTAGTAGTTGGGTGGGTGACCACCAGCGAATCCCGGCTGTCGTATGTTTTTGTCTTTTTGTTATATTTCTTAATGGCCTTGACGGAAGTGATGAAGATGGCACCTTGTAGATGAAGTTCAGTCTAGTCCCCTAAAGAGTCGCGGGGCCAGAAACAAGGTCCAGCACGTGATGGGTTAACCCTAACGCATCAAGCATCAAGACTTGACAGAGAAGATACATTGGCGTAGCCAGATGAAGGTGGTTATAGATGGGCAGTAGTTGCTTTTGTGTTTATACTTGCTAGTAAAGTTTCTCCTTGCCGTGTCCTGTCAAATGCTGCGAATAGAGGACTCAGATTCAGGACATTAGTCCGTAATCAAATAGGATTAGGAGTGAACTTGACCTACCTAAGTCTAGTGGCTCATTCCGTAGAAACTATCTTAGTTTAAGTACCTACTAGCCATAGGCAAGTTATAGCATCCTTCTACTACTTCGCTACTAACTTGACTAATTAATTTTAATTTCCAGGGGGTGAGCCTTGGACGAATTATCAAAGTCCTATAACAACGGATATCTGAGGACTTAATCATCTGTGAGTGCCTGCTATTCCTACTTTTGCTTTGTGTATGCTATTTTGCATGGCAAATTTTATGCTTGACTAATGCTAAAAGAAAGGACTAAACTGATAAATATGATCTGTAATCCCAGTTGTAGCTCCTGCACCTTTGTTTAGGATAGTCGAGATAGGGGGTAAGGTACCGACTACCGACTAAAGTTTGGACTAATTATAGTGGCGGTTTTACAATGGACTGAATGTACAAAACCGGCCATAACAAATTTTCTCTTGCGCGTCACGTAACGCGTGTTTATTGATCACATCAATAGTTACTTATGGGCGCAGGGGTCAACAAGAACATAAACAACACTCGATGGAGCAGAACAACAATTCTAATGTCTCGCAATAGACATATGCTCGCATTGATATACAATCCCCCTGAATCATCCTGGTATCAAACCTGCAGTCCGATTGCCACCCTTGTTCAATGAGGATTCTCTTCACGAAGGAATTGCCTCTCGATTGCATACCTTGAGAACCCCACCAATCCGAGTCCAACGAAACAAGAACAGAGTATTTCGACACAAAAGACGAGAAGATCAGAGCGGAAAGCAAGATGCGCGTGAGCAGTGAACAACTGGTTGAACAGGCACGCCGTAGGGACGCAGAGTTCCCCCCAACTCCATGGCGGTGGATCGACGGACCAGGGCCCTGGTCCTGTATACTCTGGCAATCATCTAACCGAGTAGACATGGATGAGATGGCCAGGGGGTGGAAGCTTGTAGACGCAGTCTGGGACTACGATGTATGGGGATATCCGCCCGCGTGCACGCGCTTATCAGACGCGGTTGTCTTCAAGCTTCTCCTCAAGAAAATTGCCAAGGTTCGCGCTGAAAGCTGGCCGTTTGACTTCAACAGCAGAGGTCAAATGAGGTTCGAGCGCGAACCGCAGGGTCCAGCGGTGTGGATTGAGCGCAAGGGCCGATACTACTATCCCGAAATTGGAGGGCGATATGTCCTGGGCGGGGAAATAGCAAGAATGATGGATTCTTGGTTCATTGAGCCACCGTCGTATGATACCAGGAGGGATTCGATCTACTTTGGGCGTGTCGAGGTGCCCAGCTGGGCAAAGGACCAAGGCGCCATCATCATCTCGTCGCGGGGTGTTACGGGTCTAACGTTCGATGATGAGGACCGCGTCTCCTGGGATGGCATGTCGGGGACTCCGGTTATTTGGACCAAGGAAGTGAGCCTTGAATGCCCTACCAGCCTTACGCGACCCACTGTTTTCACTGAGGTGGTAACCGAAAGCGGCCAAGATGCGATCCTGGTCGCTTATGGTCCAGATGAGGAACCGGAAGACGCTCAAGACTCCACAGAGATGAAAAAGGAGGAGGTCAAGAGGGAGGCCGTGAAAAAAGAGCTCGTGAAAAAAGAGGTCGTAAAAAAAGAGGTCGTGAAGAAAGAAAGAATTGCCATCAAGTCAGAGGTGGTATGTGGAAGCCAGAGACTTCACCCTCCACGTACGCTCAAGAGGAAACCAGAGTCCCAGGTCAACGGTCGCAGCAAACGTGGCAAAGCCATGTCAAGTGCCTTAAAACAAGAGAACATTCCGATCAAGTCAGAGGCGGTAAATGGAACCTCCGAACTTGACCTTAAGAGGGAACCTGCCGCCAAACCACCTAGCACCACGCCTCAGCAACAGTCTTCAGCACACAACAAGACTCGCCGTATACCCAAGAGGGAACCAGAGCCCCACATTGTCACCGGTCACAACAAACGTGGCAGATCCAGGTCAAGTGTCTTGACCCAGGGCAGCAACACTGAATCATGGGTGGAAATGGCTCGCACGATGATCCGCCAGGCAGCCTCTGCGAACAGGGAACACCAGGCGCTGATGCGAAGTATTCGTGAGGACATCAAATCTCTTCAAGCCAGAGTCGATGCTTTAAAGGCGTCAGCGCCGCTGCCTAGAGCTCTAGAGGATGTCCGGAAACTCATGGCTGAGCACGAAGACGACGTGCTGGGGACAGAGCAGATCGAGAGAACGATTCAAACCATCCTGCAGAAGCTCCCTTCTTGATTTCCAAGAAATATCCCTCCAGTCCATGAGTATGTTGAGAGCAGGCGCGAGTATGTCAGCTTCTTGACCTAGTACTCTGAAGAGGCCTGGATGAGGACGATCAGCCACAGTTCAAATATATGCACAAAGCCCATCAACGGACCAAAGGAAGTATGAATTTGACACATACTGAAGAATGGCCAAATAGTACTGTATTCTAGTGTATTGTATTCCTGTTATTTGCAGTTCGGCAGATAGCAATAACCTGGAAAGGAGAGACAACTCGAACGTTGATTAGGAGACTGATGCAAATGAGCAAACAAAAGACTGGGAGTTAGCAAAGAGGAAGAAGCAAGTACATAGCTTAGTCATGCTGTTTACTGTCTGCCAGTGATTCGTTCGGACACAGCCAGCACAAATCTATTTAGTTAGTACGAGACGGCGACGTGATAGACCACTTTAGACACGTAGGACGCATTCTCATCATTAGTATCCATGACACATTTAACCTCCTCATTAGACATGGTGTGTTGGCCAGCATTTTCCAAGTGGTGATGGTTGAGGAGAAACAGGTAAAGAGGTAGAACCTTGATCCGATTTTTCAGAGAGTTGGTGTTTTGGTAGACCTGACTCATTGTAAGGTATACAGAAGAGCAATTAAGCTCATATGAGTAAATAAGGCCAAATCGTCCAACAAATCCTCGATGGTCTAACGGTCATGATTTCCGCTTGTCACTCCAAGGAGAACGAGCGCGGGAGACCAGGGTTCGACTCCCTGTCGGGGAGATTTGTTTTCCCCCCTTCATATGTGATCGTGATCTTTTCCCCTCCTTTTTTTACCTTGGAGAGAGTCATGCCTATGTTCTGATCCCTTAATCTTTTATTTTTGTGTTTCCAAGGGGGTATTGCATCTTCCATCAAGGATTTGTTCGGTTGAATGCGTAAAGGCAATGTGCATGGATATATCTCGCTTACTCCGGTATATAAATCTACAGATAAACCGCGTTCCAGATCTCCGACAACCTTCCATCCCATGTTGTGAAATCGTCTACTCGCACCAGCGAATATCCTGAATCTTCCAAGTGACGCCCATTCCTCGCCTCCCATCGCCTCCCAGCAGCGGAAAAGTCGTCAAACCAGCTGTCTTGCAGCCCAATCTCGAGTTTCTCCCACTGTCGGGAAGACGCCAGCTCCGACCAGGGACGAATCCAGGCTTCATCCAGCTCTTCTGGAACGGTTCCAGCTCGCGGGGTGCAGCTTTTGTTCAAAATATGGATAACCAAGCGCAAGCGCCTGACGCCAACGTACGCTAATCGTAACGTCCGGAAGAGTGTTTGGTATGTCTCCCACTCGTGGTCGGTCATTGCTGACGGTGTAGTTGCCTTTGCGACGTGCAGAATGTCTAGCGAAGCGATGCGCGATAAATGTGACGGCGCTATCATTTTCGGTAATCGACATAACTTGACCGATGAGGAAATGAGGAATGTATTTGTGCTGTAGAGAAGTGGAAGTGCTTCTAGGTATCTGGCCCACAGTCAGCTCGATTCGCCGGATTGTAGAACATTTCGCTCACGCTCTTCGACACACTCGCAGCCACGCCACGCCTTTCAGCTTGTGCCGCGATAACTGTCGTCGTCCAATCCGCTTCGGATCCTCGAGATCATTCATACGGCACATGTCTCCAGGGTTTGGATGGTCCTCTTCATCGCAAACCCGGTGCCACCAGCGCCATTGGTCTGGCGGTCGCTTATCTCTCTGACGGTAGCCCGGCACATAGCCAAAATCGTATTCGAGGTGGACCGACCGGCCACCAAAGAGCTCAATGTATATTCGTTGGCGAATCTCCTGGGGTAGACGCGAGAAGAATAGACTCCGGTCCTGGGGAAGCGTGCTGTTATCGTTCAAGTCCAGAAAATTGGTAGTTGACGTATTGATGGCTGTGAGGGTGTTGCTCCTGCTCCGGATGGTCGCAAGCTCTTGATTGGGAGGAGTCAATGGTCTTCGAGGCGGAGGAAGAGGCATTGCCTTGAAATCGCGACTGTTGCCATTTTGCTTGCAGGTTTCATGATAGATCCCTACCCGAGCCAGGATCGTTCGCGGGTCTGGCTGTGAAGGGTCCTCTTCCGGTTGGTCTTTCTGTCGATCTTTGCCCTTCCCTTTCTCTTTCTCCTTATCCTTATTGCGAAAGCGCTGGAAGAATTGAAAGGTCATGGTGGAGGTGGAGGCGGAACGGGTGGGCTGATGCGGTTGTTGAATGCTGATTTAATTAGACTGAAAACAGAGACCTCGGGGATGTTTCACACAATAAATGTAGGGCGCAACCGGTGATTATTCGAGTAACATGGCGGGATGTTTCTTCGACCGACCGTGCAATGGGAGGTGGATCAATGTTTTAATTGACGAGGATCAGGCACCTATCCAGATAAACAAGAAGAGATAATAACGCATGAACCTATGATGGATAACAGTGTGCAATAATAATGAAATCATGGTGTGATGTCTGCAAATCTGGATCAACAGGGGCAGTGTCGGACTGTGGAGCTGCCAATTTGCACCACGTAAATAGGTAGCCCGCCATGTCAACAAATGAAACCAATAACAACGGTCTCGATGGAGTCTCAAAGTGTCTCCTACGCCAATTAGAAAAATTTTCACATGACAGTACCTTGGGCTGTCAGCTATGGTCTAGGAACGGTCATTCCGTCGTCCCGGTCATTAGCCGTGAATCTACTTCTGAGTCTTGACTCGCATCGTGCCATTACCAGGCTCCCTTTAGGCTTTGACCAGAGTCCAGCTGCCCAACTTCATTAAAGACTTCCAGAATGACATCCATTGGCAATGATGTCATTTCTCGTATCTTAGGTTTCCAGTGGACTGGAAGATTTCCCTTCTCCTGTTATCCTCGTCCCGACTTCCGAGTCCCAACCAGCTGGTTCAGCAACAATGTGCACGCCACTAAGCAGCAGGCGTCGTCTATTTTCTGCGTCTGCTTGACTACCTGCTTCTGACAGGCGGACAATTAATGCCATGAACTCCGGATCGGCGAATTCGGACCTGCTATAAAACAGGACCCTATTGATGGTGAACCTAGATACGCTAGAACACTACCCACAGCAGAATCTAAAGGCCCCCGTTGGGCTCGCATAGCTGCTGAAAAATGCAGATCCTTGAGCTACGCTTCTGGCCGCCGACGAGCCAAATATGCCCGACTTCGTTCATTTGGATCGGGTCGTCCGTACACCATGGTCCAAAAGTCTTCGTCACGAGGAATAGATCTGCATTTGAAGACTCTTCAGAGCTGGCTACATACTCTTTATAGGACGGAGTCTAGGCCGCAAACGTGAGGGAAGATCAATGCCGCTCTTGAGAGATCAGGAGCTTCACAGTCGATTCGTTTATGTAACGGGAGATAGACGCAGTACGGATTTCCTCGACGAACGTATGACGGGCAGCAACCCATGTGACATAACCTCCGTCTCCTTCAGACAATTGCGAGCAAAAATTGCCCAAATTCGTTCATCTGAGCAGGGTCGCACGTGCGCCATGGCCCAAACGCCTTCATGACGAGGAATGAATCGGCCTTGGCCTCCTCTCCTCCAAGATACTCCTTATAGGCCTGGGTGTAAGCCGCAAACGTCAAGAAAATCTTGTGTCGGTCCTGGGAGACCAGGAGAAGGCTATGAATGGGAAGCATATCAGTATATATTCTCAAAACCCGGCAAGACTCTCTCTCCATAACTTACTGGTTGTTGAATGCCGGGAGGCTGTGGGATGATTCTTTCAACCATCCCAACAGCTCGAACCCCTCCTGCATGATGATTGCTGCCGTCCTCTTATATCGCATCATTTTCTTGACCTCAACAATAGAAAGCGGGGCCAGCGTCTTGCTGACCCGCAAAACCCCATCGGTGACAGTGTTATAACCCCCCTTTCCAAAGAACGGGGTGAAAGATATCCTATTCAGGACGCACTCGATCGGGAGGCCGGTCACCAGCCCTGTGAGGCATTGTAAAAAGACGACCAGCGCGGCGTTCGGGGTCGCTTCATCTTTCGCATCTGGAAGATCCTTCAGTTTTCGAGCGGCTTCTTCCCCCCCTGGTCTCGACGTGGTGTCTGACCGACAACGCAGACGTTTCGAGGCCGGGGGACTAATTTCTGCCCGATCCCTGTCATGTATCTCTTCTATGGTCATCGTCTGCTCCGACGCCTTACGTTCCTGCAATTTGTTGATTTGTACACGCATGGCGGACTCCCAATGGTGCTTAAATGGATCTTCCATGGCGTCCCGACACGTACGAGGAATCTTGACATTGTGCGCGCGTAGACCCCTTGGAATCGCAACGTATCCAAAGCCAATTATATTGCGATCGTATCTGAAAATCGATAGGAAGGCGTATCTGAATGCAGACATCATATCCATGTCTTCTTCACCTTCGTCTCCTTCTGGGATATCGCTCACTTTATCAAAAACCCATTTGGGAAGCCCGAATAGTTCCCGAACGCCTGGAATCTTGCACGACCCTTAAGCTTAGGACGTAATACGCAGCATCACGAATTGCTTTTGCGTCACCTGGGAGGCTGATTTGAACGTCTCCTGGGGCAAAGTGTTGATCGTCATCTTATCGAGCTTTGCTCGAGCAACCAAATCTTCCCACTCCTCCATGGTCTCTGGGATATTGAAATCTGGGATATCCCGGGGTTGTGTCCTAGCCCTGGACTTGGAAGATGATGACTTAGACATTCTGGCAAGATTAACCTGATTCAGATGAAGAATGATAAAAACAAAAGAAAGTATCAGGGAGAAGTCCTTGAAGAGACATCCAAATCTTCTTGAATAGAGAATCCGAAATCGAACGGTCAAGAGTGATGTCTAGGTAAGTGGCAGTCTATCCGGAGTGAATATGACGGTCTGTCAGGAGTGAATTAGAATATTCATCTCCGTAGACTATGAGTACTGGACATCAGGTACTTACGATAGCCTTTTATTCTCTCGCCAGGTGGGCCCGGAAAGAGAGCAAATAAAAATGCTGCTGATTGAAGGATTATAGCGGTGCTTCTACCTGCTACCAGACAAAGACTTTTAAAGCAATCAGAGTATAACGTGGTAGTGTTGATAAGTCAATATACCCCTAGCAACTAGGTATCCTACCAATGGCCGTGAATGGGGATGTTGACGCGAAAAACAGTACGAGACCTCAGCTTCAAAGCAGGAGAGGGGCCCCCCTGTCATTAGATCAGATGAACATGGGTTACGCAGAGGACCTATTCGAGCAACCTACACTCACAGATATAAGCAAAAGTCCAGATGAACTTGCGACGTCAGGATAGATTTTGTAGTATTTGGCGCCCAGTATTGAATAGCACTACCCCAGCACTCTTTGAGCGCCCACGTCTAGGGTCAAAAGTCCCACCTGAACTCTTCGTTTCCATTCCAAGTCTTTGGCAATATAGACTACAGCAATTCGATTAAAATATGTCCTGAATGAGATTTCATCTATGCAATAAGGTTCAATTGCGTGCCGCATTGGTTTCTATTCCTTCTGACTTGGTCTCATCAGAATCGACCATTCTTAAACATGAACATCAAGCGACGCCACTCGTTTATCATCAGCCGCTGCTCTGAGTCTCATCTGTCTGTACTTTTATTTGTCAAGGGTTCCTTGGCCGGTTTCGACAAAAGTCAAAGGCCAAGCGACTTCTCACGATGAAGTTGCTCCATTTCAGACGATAACATTGTCTCCGATGAAAACAGACCAAAATTACCTGTCGCAGAGCCTACCTTCTTACGGACGCGTCGTCCGACTCGATATCCGATCCTGTCAATGACACCGCTTCCCACAGAAATGCCTCGGAAATTGCCAAAAGTGCAGGCAGACTTTCCCGCAGCAACAGCTTCTCAAAAGGCGCAAGTTCGCAATCAACGGCAAAAGGCAGCAAAAGACGCCTTCGTCCGATGCTGGAATGCTTTACAAGTCTCGCACCTGGATGGCTGATGAGGTTACGCCGCTTTCTGGGACAACGCACAACTGGTTTGGTGGATGGGGAGCCAACCTCGTCGATAGCCTTGATACCATATGGATCATGGGACTCCACGAGGAGTTCGAGGAAGCCGTGTCGGCAGTCGTCCAGATCAATTTTGAGACCAACTCTCTCAGCCAGATCAATACCTTTGAGACCAATATCCGATACCTGGGTGGTCTGCTGGCGGCCTACGATTTGAGTCGTGACAAACGCCTGCTAAAGAAAGTCATCGAGGGTGGCGAAATGCTCTACGCCGCGTTCGACACGCCTAATTGCATGTCCATTACCCGGTGGGACTTTCAAAGAGCGGCTCGCGGTGAGGAACAGGTAGCGGCTGAGGGTGTACTGGTAGCAGAGATCGGATCCTTCACGCCGGAATTCACCCGGCTCTCGCAAATCACCGGCGACCCGAAGTGGTTTGATGCGATCCACCGCATGATGGAGATTTTCTACCGCCAGCAGGACCTAACGAAACTGCCAGAAATGTGGCCTGTGGACGTTAAAGCGCGTGAAGAAGATTTCACCCAGGACACGACAATATTCACTGGGCGCTATAGCAGATTCAGTCTACGAGTACCTCCCTAAAATGCATGCGCTCATCGGTGGTGTTCTTCCCATGTACAAAAGCAGGTATCGCGACGCGATAGATACTGCCATTCGATACAATCTCTTCAGTCCAATGACCCCTGACGAGGCTGATATCCTGGTTGCCGGCGCTGCGCGTATTGTGCGCGAAGCCGATCAGCCAAGCCGTGTCACTCTGGAGCCCAAGGGCTAGCATTTAATCTGTTTTGCTGGGGGAATGAGGCATTGGACGGATGCCTGATGCAGAATGATACATATGTCGATCTGGGCCAGAAGCTGACCGATGGCTGCGTCTGGACGTACAAAACCTGCCATGAGGGATTATGCCAGAAGACTTTCACGTGTCACCTTGCGCATCCCAAGCTTCATGTCCCTGGGATGAAGCGCAATGGCAAAGAGAGGTGACGAGTAAGGCAAAGGATCCCCAAACCCAAACTGCTGCGGACATCATCCACGAGCAGCGCCTTCCAAAGGGGTTTGCTGCAATCGCAGACCGGCGGTATATCCTGCGGCCGGAGGCTATCGAGTCCGCCTTCATATTGTACCGGATCACCGGACGAGAAGATCTGCTCGATGCCGGCTGGACGATGTTCGAGGCAATTCAGAAAGCTACGGAGACTGATCTTGCCAACGCAGCTTTATCAGGCATCACCGTTCCCCAGCCACCTCAGACTGATTCGATGGAGAGCTTCTGGACGGGGGAGACGCTCAAGTACTTCTTCCTTCTCTTCAGCAGCCCCGATCTGATCAGCCTCGATGAATATGTATTCAACACCGAGGCGCATCCCTTGAAGGGGATGAAATAAACTCTGTTTTGGTTATGTTCCCTTGTTCACGTTGAGTGTGATACCTGTATATATTTATCTACATATCAGGACGAACTAAAGTGTCTGTATCCCGGATATACACAAACGTGACGAGAGTCAGCTAGAGATCTTGGTTTACTTTCTCTCAGAAGTCTCTGATTTGCTAGATTCATTTACAAGCCTGGCAACGTCCTCAAGTCGTCACATAGACCTACAGAGGGCTGCCACTGTCACGTGGTCTTCATGAGCACAAGCTACAGAGTCCTAAACAACGCAACAAGGCACTCTCCGCTCAAATTCAATTTCAGACCTAGCATTTAACCAAGATCCTACATCGCCTGCAAGGAAGCATCCTCATTATTATCATCCACTCCGTAGGCTCTACCCACGTCGCAGCCTGAAACAGATCAGGGGTCCGCTCCTCATCTGGTAAGGCGGACAAGCAAAAGTAAAACATGGGTACTTCGTATATTAAGTTCTTATGATCATCGCCGCCGGTAGTAGCGATCTGCGAACTCAACTTTAAATTACTCAAATGGATTGCGTATGTCAACTCATTAGACCGATATTTATAATTATCCCTCTTCTCCTTGCTTGAGTGGCATTGTTGTTCCCTGCGCCCTAGCTGGATGTAAGGTACGCAGGCTGTACATACTCCGTATGGTTTGCAGGGTAGTGTGCCTCGGTAGAATTTACGCGTTTGAGCATGTATCATTAATTACTAAATACTGTCTGATTAGTCTCAGATTCATCAATATTCGCATATTCCCATATAATAGAATTATAGACGTCGTATTTGGAATTCATTATTTGAGTAAATGCTGAGGTGCGGTAGAGCAATGTCTAGAACAATGCAAAGCCCAACGCCGATCCAGCCATCAAATGCATCACAGAGACCACGATACATTTACATCATTTTAGAAAAAGAATGAGTACACAAAGACCAAAATTGTAGCAGCCGTTGCCACTGTATACTCCAGCTCGAACCAGGCCGCCTGACCACCGAACGCAATCTTCTTGCTCCGGGGAGTCGGATGCGCAACTCCCGTCTTGGGGTCTCGGATCAACAGATCCTCACGGTCGGGCATGACCGGTGGGTCGACGGCGTAAGCGACTGGAGTCCAGAGGGAAGTGCAGATGAAAAGGAATGTCAGCGGGGGCCAGAAGGCGTGTGTGATCAAGCAGAGAATGACATCTCGGAAGCTGTTCTGCTGCGCGAAGCAGCGATACGACGAGATGACGACCGCGACGAGCGTGACATATACAAAGGCAAGGTGAAAGAAGGCCATGTAGTTGAGCAGAATCACGCGCAGACGAACGAACATGATCTTTCTCCGTTTCGGATCACGCTCTTCGAGTGCCGAGCTGAGCGAGCCGGTCGGCTTGAAGGCCTGTGTTTGGCCACCAAGCCATTTAGGGAGGATGAATGAGCGGACAATACAAAGGGCAATGTAGGGTGACATCCAGAGCTGGTAGCGGGAGCCTCTTTGTCCGGTGTGGTAGCCGGCGGGGATGAAGAGGGCAAACTCGCAGATTCGGTTGGAAATGGTCGAGGCGAAGCAGGCCCAGATGAGCCAACGGAGTTGCTCCTGAGTAGCGTAGGCAACAAGCTGCTTGCCCCACAGAAGAATAATGGGGATGGCGAAAATCGAGGCAGTGAGAAGGAGGGTGTACAAGCTGAGTGTTGCGTAGAGGAATCCCGAAAAGCGCTGAGCAGCTGTCATCTGTCGAACGCTGTCACCCCACAGACAGAATTTGAGCTTCACAGCGGTGTCGACGGTTCCGATCGCCCATCGCGTACGCTGCTTGAGATGTCCGCCAAAGTCTTCCGGCACGGTACCAAACTGAAGAGGTTCATGGATGTACGCAGTCTTCCATCCCTTTCCGAGCATCAATGTGGAGGTTGCGACGTCTTCAGCCAACGAGCCGAGAGGGAAGTTGCCGATCTCGTCCAGGGCCTCGCGTCGAACGACGTAACCGGAACCAGTGCACCAAGCGACACCCATCGCATCCTTGATTGGCTCAATCACATGCACGAAGAAATCCAGACTCTGTGCGAGAGGATCAGATGGAGGGGTGTTGTAGAAGAGCTGCGGCGGGCATGCAAGGGCCATCTTGGGATCGACAAGGAGATGAGGAAGGACGGCACGCAGCCAGTCTTGCTCGGGGATCTGTGAAGCTAGTTAGGAGACGGCTTGAGTCAAGATGAAACGCCAGTGGAAATTACCATATCAGCATCCAGCGCCGCCATGAATTGGCCGGCGCCTCCAGGCAAATAATGCACCTGGCCAAGGCCATAATTGAGGTTGCCCGCCTTGAAGTGGTGTGGTTTGCCAGGAATCTTCTCTCTCGCCATGTAGATGAGATTGGGATGAGTAATGGCGAGCTGGCGGACGGAAGCCTCCAGGGTGGCTGACTTGCCGTCATCAAGGACAATGACCCTGAACCTGTCGGGGGGGTAGTCCTGATCGCACGCTCCACGGACGGTATCCAGCACGACCTCGTCCTGTTCTCCACAGCAGGTGACGAAAACATCCACGGTAGGAACATCATTTCCGGTCAGTCGCAGCTTGGGTCGGCCTCTTTTCTTCAGTGCCATCATAGTCCAGCAGTTGTGCATCAAGGAGGGGATCGCAACAGTGATCTCGATAGCTACGAAAACCCATGCTCCGGCGTAAGTGTATCCAGCTGCATTCTGTGCTAGAATAATACAGGCGATGCGAAGCCCGAGGTAGAAGATGTAGAGACCTGTGTTGGCTAGCGTGAGGAAGGGAACAAGGCTGAAGACCCATCGCTTCCATCCTCTCCAGATATCGGCATCATCACGCTTGTGAAGGCGAGCGATCGACCCGGACTGGACCCAATCTTTTGCAAACAACGGTGACGCGGAGGCGTTGAAGAGAGGAGCAAGACTCTGATGACTTTGAAGCAGCTGATTGTTTTGATACTGGTGACCGAGATATTCGTTAGTTTTGTGTGCATAAAGACAAGTAGTGGCAGGAAAGAGCGGGACTGTAATTACCGGAGATGGTGACGTCGAACGAGAGTCAAACGATTCTGGACAGAGAGACGACCGAGCCGTTGCAAAATGATATCCGGGCGACGCATAGTCCTCCAGAGGAATCTCACCGGCCCCAATAGGCGTCTGAGCTCCCGGTGGAAGCTGATCTAGCGAGTCGAAACTACTGTGATTTTGGTGGCCTCGACGGTGGACTTGAAGCCCGACCTTCTCTTCTTGATATTCCTGGCCATAGCGCCCGCTCATTTTGGCCTTGAGTGCGGCAAAATAGGTGACAATAAGTGCTTAACAGTCGGATCGGAATGTGTCAAACTGTTCGAAGTATGAAGGGGAAAAGCGAGATATTCTGGCTGGAATTTAAAGAACTACCCCCGAGTAATTAAACGAGTGTGATAAGCTCAGAGAACTTTGGAATACAAGGGAAGTAGGATTAGAGGTGGATGGACAGATTCAACGAGAGACGAGGCAGGAAGATGGGCGAGGGTGAGAGGTGCCTGTTCCTCGTCCGGCGTCTTCCATAGGTACTTATTTCTTATCACTACGGAGGACTACGCCAGAGTCCCTCTCTGGTGTGTTGTGAATTTWTTATTATTATTATTATTATTATTTAACAATAGTCCAGTACTAACCAAGGCCAAAGTAACCAGAGCATGCGACCTACCGCAAAGATCTGCCCCCAATAATTTAGTGCTCATTTACCAGTTGCCTTGGCTTATTTTAATTACTTATTATGAATGGCTGAGGCCCTGAAACTAGTGTGATATGGATGGATCGATAAGAGTATTCCTTGGTACTGTTTGCGCACTAGCCTGTGATAAGCTAATATAAATAGATCCCACTTTAGAAGGGTTTTCCGCTTGCGTCATCCTTGTTGTTCTGCTTGATACAGGTAAGGCATGCTATTCAAAACCCTTCCATGGTCGACTCCCTCAACAGTACCAAGAACGTCTCAGCTAGAAGATAACTAAAGAGGAAATTTCCCCTGCCAACCTTGCCGGAAATGCTTCTCGGCGACATCCAGGCCAATACATTTCCAGTATTCTTGAAGATTCCTTGGTTGCACTGCCCTTTTACCTAATAAGGTATCTTAAATTTCAAGGATCCGTACCTCGTTACAGCCACTAGACCAGTTTCACAACCAATCAGCTCCACTCTTTATCAGGGTCCATCCTGGTCGAGCGTATCATGATTCATGCGTATGATTAGTCTGTTTTAGTCCCTGATCATCCACTCCAAAAATCAAACTATGAAAACAATTCAATTTTTTTTTCCCTGTAAGTTACACCTTCCTTACATCTATGGATACCCAAGGTAAATGTTTGCTGATAACAGCCGTCTCCCCACTGGACCAAAGCACCCTATGAGCCACTGACCGTATCCGCTTCCAATACATCTCATCTCACCTTCCATGACTTTCCCCCCTCTACATCTCTGAATTCACAGAGTCTTCTCATCAAACCTATCATGGTGCTTCGATGGGTTGTTAATGCCGGCCTTTTGGCCATCCCCATCGGAGGCACTGTAGGTGCTCTGATGGGAATCGATGCGCACCGACATGCGACAGGACAAGCGCCTCTTTTCAGCGGCGGCGGCGGCGGTTCATCGGGCTCCGGTTCTGGTGGCAGCGGTAGCACTACTCATAATGGAGTGAACAACACACTGTACTGCCAGGAATCATACGGAATCACACCCGACACAAAAGGACAAGGCTTCACATGTAAGTTGCCGAGAGTTCCTATCGACTTTCGAATGACTGACCGTTACCGCAGTAAATCCCAATCAATGGGGCGTGACCGGCGATACAGTCGGAGCATTATGCATGAACGTAAGTGTTGAGTCTCGTGTTTTTACCAGCTTGCTGGCAGGTTTGTTGACAAGTATCGAATAAGGTCACAACCTTCGACAACGGGACATACGCGACCAAGAACACAGCACCAGAGTTCTCTGTCACATGGCAATTCGACCCCGGTCCGTCGACCCAACCGGTCCACGCCTTCTCGAACGTGATGATTGACGATGGCTTGCCCGTCTCTCTTGAGAAAATTCAGCATTTGAATGTCGATTTCCACTGGACGTACGGAGTAGGCAACACACCCGCTGCGGCGACCGACGAGGCAGAACTGACTAGCGCGTCTGTCAATACGAACGTCGCTATCGATATGTTCATGGGTCCCAACGAAAAGGCAAAGGAGAGTACCGATTATACTCATGAAGTGATGGTCTGGTTTGGGAAGTTCGGGTCCGCCGCGCACGTCATAGGACAAGAGGCTGGCATAGTTGCGACCAAAGTGTTAAATGGAACTACCTTGTGAGTAAATTATTCGATGACCGTTGGGTACCTTTTCTCTGACACGCTTTTGCTTGCAGTAACCTATATTCAGGCCAGAACGGCAAGCAGCAGTGGGTTCTGACGTGGCTTACGAGCGACTCTCCGAACGATCCTCAGGCGAAGGGGAAGACTACGGAAACGTTCACCGGTGATCTCTTGCCTCTGATCGCCGATCTATATACCATGACTGGGGAGGCTTACCCGTCCAAATCCGACTACATGGGTATCTTCCAATTCGGTACCGAGGCCTTCTCATCAAGTACAAATGTCACATTTTGGGTACCGCAATTCTCAGCAGATATGCAATGAGGGAGAACGAGGAGGTAAATATATATATTTTTGTTCATTAGCATTTGGGAGTTTTGAGGCAATCGGATCGAACATAGATAATGAAGCATTGGCATATAATCAGTACAAAGGACGACGGCACAGGTAAGGACCAAGCTGAGCTGCGTATACTGTTTACAAACATATGGACTATGCAAATTATTGGAAGCATTGCGTACGATGCGCAGAATCGCCATTACTGGGACTCTGAACTCTTGATGTTCGCATCCGCGATTTTTTCCGCAAGCATAGCTTAAGTCGATGTCAAAGGTGGATCTGTCTGGTTGGAGGTACCCACAACTAACACTGTGGGGACTGCTGATGACCAGGCGGCAGAAACGAAAACGCACTGGCATCCACCACATGTAGTCCACACATCCATATATCCGCGCCTGCGGAGCGACAACAACCATCTCATCCTCCGCAGTGCCCGTCTCGCACGTGCAAGCGGCATACAACAAAGCCATAACCCTATTCCGGATGAACCCAGAATTTCCTCGTCAGTCTGGACCTCGACACCAGGATAGTGCTCCTCTCCGATTATCACAGGAGCTGGGCTGACTGGAATGAGCCTGCTGAGAGGATCACTTCGTTCTTTGCAAAGAGCGCAAATATATTGCCGAGGGCTCCTCGTAGTTGAACGCCGGCGGCCTTTGCGCCGCTGGAAACGATCTCCTTCGCTAGCGTATTGGTGTAAATAGTCAGTATGAAAGGATTGATTGCACAATTGATTTTAGAGTTGGTGGCGGACGTGCTGTATTGCGGTCTCGTCAGCGACCCAAGATCGAAGTCCGTGGTCTCGTTGGCCCTTATCGCTTCCGTTCCTCGCTCCATTTACGAGGAAATGGCATTGCAATGTTGGCGCGGGATACCGGCAGTTGCCCGCTTGTTGAATCGTACGCAGCAGCGTCGTAGGCGGCGGACGCTTAGCGGCTCGTGGTTCAATATTGGAGGTGTGAATTGGACTTTGTCCTTGTAGTTGTGGTACAGAAGGAATGCGTAATGGTAATTGCTATTATTGACGGCAGTTGCCCATTATTCGTGGGCTCGCGCATTGGTCTGCGAATTAGTTGTCACTGTGTGACTGTTCAAGCCACTAAATGGGCAAACACAGTTGATGGATCATAAATTCAGCGCCGACCTGCAGATATGCTCCGTCAGTTCCGTCACCATTAGGCAAGTGCCTTGCTGACTTACGAAGTACGAACCCCAGGTAATTTACCCTTTGCTGATTTTATGAAATCGCAGCAAGTGACTCCAGCTCATATGCCCTCGACCAGACAACCTTGAAAGAGGGCTGCGCCAGTCTGCAGGCCACGACACTGCCGCCCCGGCCCGCCCGTATCACCGCCGACTACGCATAATCAGGCTTTGTCTCCATTGAACAAACCTCTAGGGCTCGTTGGTGATGCTTTTTGGTGCTGCTGTGGATAATCTGTAGTGCGTAGGCAATTTAAACCCTGAGGCCAATGGCTTGGAGCGCCAAAGTGTAACAAGAGCTGATCGAGATAATAGCGTCTAGATGTGTCAATTGATAGTACCTTACCCATGCAAGGGGGAGAACGCACGGTGCTCTTTGTGCTACCAAACCTGTCCGAGTGTACGCGGCCGGGTAGGTGATCACAGGCAGACAAGGATAATGCTTGAGAGTCGAGACCGTACTAATTTGTAGGATGTGCAGGTCTGAGCTAAGTTGTTAGATGCCTCCATGCTCTCCATGCTTTTAGTCCACGTTTTGGGACCTTCTCAGACATCTTGTAGAGCAAGCACGCCCTTATTCAGGAATGTTTCAGTAAGTGTTCGAGATAAAACAATGAAACCTGGCCCATCTAAATTCGACTATCGATGCCCCATTGTCTCAAGTCTGTAATCGATTTTTTTTGTTTCATGGCCAGTCACGGTTACGTGTTTGGGGGTCCCCATAACGGGTATCCGCAGAACCCACACTTGGCTGTTTCAAGGAGAGACAGGGCTGAGGACTTTCGAGATTCAATCTATAAAATTCGAGTACCCTCTAGTATCGAGAAATCATCACTGATTCGTCTATCTTCAGTCGGGAGGGGAAAAGTCACAATAGTATGCCAGGAGTCGGCGCCGAATAGCGATGAGTCGAAAACAGAGTGGTATCAGAGCCTGTGATTGGTCAGATTAACATACCATCACGTGCTAGTCCGCGTCCGCTGAAATCGACGCCGTTTCGAATCTCAGTGAGCACACTTTTTTTTCTCACTTGCACTTTTGCTCCAATCCAGGACAGAATAGTTCTGTGCGACTACGTTGGGCCTAGGATTTCACATTGCTCATTCTGCCATGCACAGTACATTATCCCGACCACTTCGTCTCTGTCTGAAAAGGTCAAAGGATGAAAACCGATCAAAGCAACAACCTCATCAGCGTGGACATCATGAGCCAGATGCCGTCGAAAAGTGTCCGTGCTGCAACAAACTGCAAGAAAATCTTGTTTGTCCTGCACAACATCGATAGGAACGTCTTAATCAGGCTCTAATATCAATTGATTGACTTCTGCAAGATGACGCGTTATCCGCCTCGACCTAGCCTAAGATGGAGAAATATCCGTTGGCTCCCCTTCGCTTATCAGTCTATGGTGGAATATCTCCTCCTTAGCACTCGACTAACGTCATCACTACTGTCGATGCGGTAAGGCTTGTTTTGATTTAATATAATATGGGCGCTCTGCTTTGTTCTCTGGTCGAATCATAGCCAGACAAGCATAAGCATGCTCAGCGAGTTGATGCTTGTTTCTACTGCGATCCCAGCAGCAACCTTTGAACCGGTCAATCACTGCAAACTGCGGCAGAACGTGCCATTCAGGCGCTATGTTGCATGAAATCGGGGATAACCAGCCCGGACTACATCAGCTGCTGAAGCGCGATGTATGGTGCGGTTGCCCTATATAAAACCCCTTAATTACGGTCTCTTCGAATATCCAGACCACTGAATTCAAGGTCAAGATGAAGGTCGCCGGATTCCTCTGGCTGAGCCTTCTCGGCGCCTCTGTCGCAACTGGCGAGACCCATGGAATAGTGAAAAGAAGCACTGTGAGCGAGATATTGACTGATATTGAAAATGCTGCGACCTGCGCTGCTTGTGAGGTGAGTACGACAGCGAAAGCTTATGTACCCGTCGCTAACCCGTACAGTCGTTGTTGGTTGTCCTACAGACTCTGGCCCATCTTGGCAATGATGACTTTGTGGATGTGATAACCCAAGTCTGTATTCTGGCTGGGGTAAGCAATCTTCTCTTAGACAATTGAGCCAATATTTATCGCGAACAGGTAGAAGACTCGGACGTTTGCGAGGGTGCCATCGCTCGCGAAGGCCCTATATTGGCGCATGATCTTCGCAATATGGACATACCCTCGACTACTGCCGTCCTCTTTTGCACCACAATCTTCGGCCTCTGTGATTATCCGGCTGTCACAGAGTATACGGTTGACTTTCCTTCGGCCAAACCGACAAACGCATCTCGCTCATCGCCCAGTGGGGAAACACCTATTCAGGTCGTGCACATCAGTGATATCCATGTTGACCTATCTTATGAAACCGGCGCCAGGTAACCCGCCCGCCTTCGCAGGATACTTTCAATTGCTCATATTACTAGTTATAACTGCACGAAAAACATCTGCTGCCGTCCTTACACAACATCTGATGCACCCGGCAATACCAGGTATCCTGCAGGAGAGTTTGGCGATCACAGCTGTGACACTCCGCTTAGTCTGGAGGAGAGCATGTATGAGGCTATACAGGAGCTGGTTCCCACCGCAGCATTCACCATCTTCACTGGTGACGTTGTAGAAGGCGCCGTGTGGCTGGTCAATGAGACTGAAGTTACCAACGACCTCAACGATGCCTACAACACCCGGATGCCATCATACCTCAGTCTCGTTTACGGAGTGGTCGGTAATCATGACGCAGCGCCTGTCAATTCCTTTCCTCCAGCTGACATCGACACAACAATTTCAAGCCAATGGGCGTACGATACTCTTGCGTCCGACTGGACGCAGTGGATAGGGTCAACGGCTGCCACCACGGCCAAAGACTACGGCGCGTATTCCGTGAAGTACGCGGCTGGAAATCTGCGCATAATCTCCTTCAACACCAATCTGTATTACAAGGAGAACTTCTGGCTGTACGAAAAGACCATGGAGACCGATCCAAGCGGACAGCTTGCCTGGCTCATAAGTGAGCTCGATGCTGCGGAGACCGCCGGCGAGCGAGTCTGGCTGCTCGGCCACAGCCCATGGGTTCCGGCGATGCCTTTCACGATGCATCAAACTACTTCAATCAGATTGTCCAGCGGTATGACGCGACCATCGCCGCTTTGTTCTACGGTCACACTCACAAAGATGAGTTCGAGATTGCCTACTCCAACTACACAGACCAGAGTGCGCAGTCTGCGACGATGATGTCGTATATTGCTCCCGCGTTGACTCCGACATCCGGGAACCCGACCTTTCGCGTCTACTCGGTCGACCCGGTCACCTTTGGCGTGCTGGATTACACCGTGTACATTGCCAACATGTCCAGTTCGACGTACCAGAGCAAGCCTACCTGGCAGAAATACTACTCCATCAAGGAGGCATACGGCTCTCTTCTGAGCCCCCCTGTCATCGATAGCACGAGCGAGCTGACTCCTGCTTTCTGGCATAATGTCACTGCATTGTTCGAGAGCGATGATAGCGTGTTCCAGGATTATATCGCCCGTAAGAACAGAGGGTGGGATGTCTCCAGCTGCACTGGCGATTGCAAGACATCGGAGATTTGCCAGCTGCGAGCGGCCGAGGCGCAGTACAATTGCGTTGAAATCACCCCCGGTATCAATTTCAAGCGCAGAAAACGAGACGATACGAGCAGCAGCACAAAGACGGAGAGTGCATGTGGCGGGTCGGTTTTTGGGGCTGTGTTTGCGGACTTCGAGGAGAGCGTAACGGTATTCAAGACTGCTGCGGGGGAGAAGCTGGGATCGGCTTTTTGAACACTACAGTCAATTCGACGGCTGTTTAGTTACATTGAGTACAAGAGGGAGCCTCAGCTATGATTTTGGCATCATCTTATCTAGACATATCTGTATCGTAGGTGAAAATTTGGGGTCGAGATTGGAGTTTTTCCCTACCGAGTAAACGCTTCCTCAACTGCCTCTAAGAGTAGCGAGATAAACTCCTTGTAATTCACCCTGATAAAGAACGACAGTCGCAAACTCTCGCCAATTAGCCCCTTCTGGGCTTTGTAGCAGAGAATGCGCATCATCCTGCTATGACTGCTATGAAGCTGAATCAATGAACAAGAGGAGAGTGGTCACATGCAGATGCAAGATGGTAGTTGGAAAATTTCTGTAACTATGGCTCCTCTACTGGTATCATCAAAGGGCAACTTACTCTGGTAAGGCTTGAAGCTGACCAGAGAGTACGTACATAGGCAAATGAGGCAGGTTAACTTATCTTGAGCAGGGCTGGAACCACGTGATCATCCACCAGGGGAGTGTATGCCTAAGGCAGCAGATCACCTGCCCCCACGCGACATCATGTGACTGACATCACTGTCTACGTCTACAGGCTGCAGCAAGCCATGCAGAAACTCTACTTATCAGTAATTGAAAATAAGAAGGTCGGTTCCTCGTCATTTAAAGGCTATACCATGATTTGCTACTGCGGCTGCTGATTGGTTATCATTACAGTGTTGATACCTTGTGATGCATATTCATTATTTTAACCACATCAGTCTCCTGGTTTCCCCTTGAAATGGGTCGAATACATAGTTTAATCAGGAGACACCGTCCGCGAATACGATTTCTTACCCTCCACTATGCCTATTTTACAGGTACCTGTCTGATCAGCTCCTTCATTCTCTGGGGCGCTGCGCACCCCTTCGGTAGTCTCCGTTACATTGATGCCCTGTATCTCGCCGTCAGTGCTATGACGCTGGCAGGCCTCAACACAGTGAATCTGTCGACCCTGAGCACCTTTCAACAGCTCTGGCTATTTTTCTTAATCATACTCGGCTCCGCGGTAAGCTCAAGACACTTACTCCCTATTGCACCAGCCAGTGCGAGAGTGTCAGCCAACCCCTGTTGTAGATATGGGTGTCCATCGCCGTCCTCTTGACACGCAGGCGCGCATTCGAACAGCGGTTTGGCGACATCATCCGAGAGCAACGCCTGCAGAGAAGGAGTACGCGTGAGTCCCTGCAAGCAGGCCCCAGCCTTTCCCTGTCGCGGTCGTTTCGCCGACGAGGGACTACCTCGGACCGTCGAAATTTGCAATCTGTGCCAGCTGGTAGCACCCAGGCACCTGACCGCAATGTTGTGTCCCGTCAACCTTCCAGCTACTCACCCAGACAGCCAGGTGGTGGAGTTGCTGATCTGCCTGTAGCGACGGCTGCGGGAGTCGAACAACGGCAACCATCTAGAGAGAGCGCGGAGGAGAAACCTAGTCTCTTGAATTGGAAGCCTTCAGTCAACTCTACCCCTGGCTCTGCGAACCCCAGTAATCGCGAGGAGGAGCAACCTACTCACTTGGAGCGGAAGTCTTCGGTCAACTTGACTCCTAGCTCTGCAAACCTCAATAATCGTGAAGAGTACTCTCGCCTTGCCTTCGCGTCTGATGTTCAACCTCCTCGCGAACGGTCATCGAGCACGTATCCTCGACCGCGTCTTCTCCCGCCCTATACCAACTACAGACAGCCGTCTGAGTTGTCAGATCGTGGGCCCAGGCGCGGAGAGGACCTAGCCTCCTCCGGTCATGAAACTTTGGCGTTCCTACGCCACGTCGGACGAAATTCTACGTTTCCTACGCTGACCGAGGAGGAACGCGACAAACTCGGCGGTGTGGAATACCGAGCCGTGTGCCTGCTGACCATCATTGTGCCCATTTACTTTGTGGCCTGGCAGTTTCTTGGAGGGCTGGCAGTGGGGGCTTATGTGGCCCGTAACAAAAGCACAGTGGCGGAGACGAATGGCCTGGCTCCATGGTGATTACCCCGATTTATCTCTGTGCCCTTTTCCCTGAAGGATTATGTCGTCTGCTTTTTTTCTGTTCCGAGCTCGAATTGATTGCTTTCTTCAGGTGGGCCGGTTTCTTTTTTGCGATTTCCGCGTTCAACAACTCCGGCATGAGTGTTGTGGACGCCAACATGGTGAGGCCAGGATAGTCCATCCGGATCATTAATACACTGACCTCAGTCGGCAGGTACCCTTTCGATCATCAACGTTCATGCTCATCACCATGGGCCTATTGATCCTGGCGGGCAATACCTGGTACAGCCACTTCTCGGAATCTCAAACCCTACCGTGATCCCATACTCATGAACACTTCCAGCTACCCGATATTTCTACGATGGATCCTGTACGCAATGTTCCGCCTCCTGCCCAAACACCCCTACTTCCAAGAGTCCCGTGACACTCTGCGTTTCCTGTTGGATCATCCCCGTCGATGCTACACCAATCTCTTTCCTTCACCACATACCTGGTGGTTGCTCTTCTCGGTGGTCCTACTCAACGGGATTGACTGGGTGGCGTTCGAGGTTCTAAATGTAAGTTCTGAGTGCCCACGCCAAGAGCAAAGAATTATACTAAAACCAGGGAGATTGACAATCCCGCGGTCAACACGATTCCGCTCGGCTCCCGAGTCCTCGACGGACTTTTCCAGGCCCTCTGTGTGCGCAGCGGCGGCTTCTATCTCGTCAACATTTCCGCCCTTCAGCTGGGTATGCAGGTCATATACGTGATTATGATGTACATTTCCGTGTATCCCGTGGTCATCACCATGCGCAACTCCAACGTCTACGAGGAGCGCAGCCTGGGGATCTACGCTGATGATATGCCATCGGAGTCGCAGGATCCGGACGGCCAGGAGAAAAACCTACCGGGGAAGACGCCCTCCGGTCGGCTTTACTTTATTCAACATCAGCTGCGGGCGCAACTGGCCTATGACCTCTGGTGGATTGCCCTGGCCGTCATCATTATCTGTATCGTGGAGGCGGGTAGTTTTACCCGCGACCCGGTGACATATTCCGCCTTTAACATTATCTTTGAGACCGTCAGTGCATACGGCACCGTCGGAATTAGCACGGGCCTGCCTGATCAGATGTATAGTTTTTCCGGAGGCTGGCATACCCTGAGCAAGCTGGTCCTCTGCGCGGTGATGCTGCGTGGCCGGCACCGTGGATTGCCTGTCGCGATCGACAAGGCTATTCTGTTGCCCGGGGAGCACCTTATCCAGGCGGAACAGGAAGACGCGCACATCCGCTTTGAAAGGACGATGAGTCGAAGTCGAAGTCGGACCATGGCATAATACCCGAAGGAGCTTTTTATAAGCCGAGTTGCTATCTGATTTTGTACTTTGCAACACTGGTGGGAGTGACTGATCACTTCGCCATATTACTTCTGACCCTCGAAGAGTTTGATAATCTCATGGTACGGAAGCACAGAGTGTCGTTCTAGAATATTGCCATTGATTCTCCTAGGAGGCCCTTGTATTCAGGAATACAATCTTCCTCGGCAATTGATGATGGATGGAAACCGTATTGATGTTCGGGGGGTACTGCAGATCACCCGATTGTGAGTCATTTTACGATTGCCCAGTCGTCATTGGCGAGAATACGAAGTATGCTGGATCTACTCCGTACTATATAAAGCTTCGGCCAATTTAAGTTAGTTGCATCCGAGACATTGGTGGCTGGTGCTTATATATAGCAAAGTCAACCCCCACTGGACGGTGGAGGCTGCCCGCTCAACATACCGGGGTATCTCCACTCATAGTAAAAGTCCACTACCTGTTGGACAGTAGCTGCAGCCATCCTACCTCAATGACCAACCTATCCGTTTTCCTGCGCTATCTGCGCCTCAAACTTCTAGTCTCCTTCTACCGGCTCATCGTCAAAATGCTCGCCTCACCCCCGAGACCTCGCCCTGACACTGTACTGAGAATCCCGTCACGCGATAAAGGCCGCACTATCAAAGCCCATATTTACAAGCCCTCGGAGAAGTACGCAGGCAGCAGGGGCCCGCACCCAGTCCTGGTTAACTTTTACGGCTCTGGCTTCGCAATTCCCCTCTATGGCGCCGACGACGGTTTCTGTCGGTTCATCGCCACGACCACCGGCTACATCGTCCTCGACGTCGAGTATCGACTCGCACCGGAGCATCCGTTTCCAGCAGCGGTCCATGACGTCGAGGACGCGGTCAAATACGTGCTTGACCGGCCAGAAGAGTACCGGACCTCACAAGTCTCCGTGTCCGGGTTCTCATCAGGCGGCACCCTCGCGCTCGTCGCCCCGACACTGTTTCCTCCTGACACCTTCCAGTCCGTCATTTCGTTCTACCCGGCGACGGATCTTGCCAGGGACCCGAGCATGAGGAAGCCCCCAGCCCTGAATGCGAAGCCGCGCTCGGCGTTCTGGACTCGGATCTTCCGGGAGGCATACATAGGCAATATGAATCCGCAGGATCCGAGGATCTCGCCAGCGTATGCCGATACGTCCAAGTATCCGGCCAATATGCTCGTTGTAGCAGCGGAGATGGACTCGTCGGCGCTCGAGGCGGAGGACTTGGCGAAGAGAGCCGAGACGGAAGGCGTAGCAAGCGGTAGGAATGTGGTTATTCGGAGGATGAAAGAGTGCGGTCATGCATTTGATAAGAAGGACAAGGATGCGGCTTGCGTTCAAGCTCGAGATGAGGCGTATGGACTTGCTGTGGATATGTTGATGAAGGTTGCAGGTGAGAGCGGTTGAAAGACACGGTTCTATATTGCACTAGGATTTCCGTCCGTGCCAGGACTGAACATCCAACCCATTAGTGTATGTAGTAACACAGAATCAGGTTATAGTTTTGCATATCAGTATCAACCGTTACGCTGTTCTTAGTGACAGGTGTCCATCTCGTATCTCAAGAAGGTCGTTAGCGAGTAAATCACTCATTACTTGCAAAGACCGCCATAACGGCACACCTATCTTGCTTATCTTTGTTGCCTCAGACCCTCGAGCACCAGTAATCTTCACTGACTGAAAGTATAGAAGTCAGCCTTGCCAACAACCTGAAGAAATGCAGCCCCCGGCTAAGAAGAGACTGCCAGAGAAGATCACCAGTCATTGCAGCAGCGTGGTACTGGCATGACTGGATTGCGATGAGCTATGACCAACTGCAGGGTGTGACAGTCAGTCATCTCATTGAATGCCTTGGTTCAGTGTATTCGACAAAGGCTACTTCCGGCAAGCTGGGTGATAGTTCTACCGAGGGTGTCGTGGAGTAGCAGTGTTGTTGTACCATATAATGTAAATGATTCTTATTTAGGAATACTGTACTGACAGACCTTGAAGATGATGGATATCCATCAATGGATAATGACAGATTGCAGGACTGTTCTAGATTAGTGAAGCGACTGTGTCTTAGTATTCATTCACTTTACTCTCACCCTTTGCTAATATTAGCCTGAAGCACTTCCCTTTAGGGAATTATTAGAGTAGTGAATGAATAAATAACTACCTCGCGTAATTTCGCCTCACTTTGTCTCTACCCTCTCACATAAAAATTTGTATCAACACAAAAGACCTCACTCCAGAATCTTACACTCATATTTCTGACTATCCTTCAGCATTTCATTATGACAGCTAACCTGGCTTCATGTATTAGAAACATCAGAATTCTGCTCCGCCGCCTCTTGACCAGCAGAGTGGGAGGTGCAGCCATGTCACTCCTTGACCTCCCCCTTGATGTGCTGTACGAGATAGCTTCTCACCTTTATGACTGGGATCTGAATGCTCTCATCCGCACCTGTTCTCCTCTCTACACGGTCTTCAACTTCGAACTTTACCGACGGGACCCTAAACGAGGACAAAGTAGAGCATTGTTCTGGGCCGTTCAGCATAATGTGATCGGCACACTATGGAAATCTCTCGAAGCTGGCGCACCAACACCATGGCCAGCACTACTTTGCCGGGCCGCTGAGTACGACTCACTGCTTGCAATGAAGACCCTTCTTTTGCAGGACGGTGCTGATATCAAGGCTGTGGAACACTTTGAGGGAATTCCACTTTTGGTGAAGGCTGTGATCAGTCGCTCACCCAAAGTCCTGCGGTTTCTTCTGGCCAGACACGGGGTGGATCGGAACGTCAAGAACGACGAAGGACAAACACCCCTTGCATATGCTGCCTATGAGTGCTTCAACGACATTGTTAAGATTCTGCTGAAGTGTCCCGATGTGGATGTGAATTGCCCAGACAACAGGGGCTGCACGCCACTCCATCTAGCAGCGGAAAGGAGCCATGTGTTCGTTGTCAGAACGCTGCTCTCGAATCCCTCGGTCGATGTTAGTGTGAGGGATAATATTCATCACAGGACGGCTCTGTCAGCTGCAGTGGAGGCTCTTCACCAGGAGATAGCCTGGAAGCCCGAGAGGGTCAAATTGAAGCATCGGCGGACAATACAAGCACTCCTTGAGCACCCCGCGACATCTGTGAACTATGATACGGACCCGGATCTCCTGCAGCTGTATCGGTTCAGTGCTCAGTACGGATACGAAGAGATCTTCAAATTGCTATGGTCAAAAGGGGCGGGACAGCTCCCGGGAGAACTTGATCGCTCTGGGATCTTATTCTTTGTTGCAGAACACGGCCAAGCAGGGATTATGAAGATGTTGTTTGCCAATGGTTTTGAGCCGGAGGCACGAACTTATACGGGCCGGACAACGCTCTCAATTGCCGCAGAACACAAACAGATTGAGGTCATCCGACTACTTCTCTCGACTGGCAAGGTTGACGTGAATTCCAAGGATCGAGGCGGACGAACGCCACTGTGGTGGGCTATGACACATGGGTGGAGAAAAACCGGGACGGATGAGACTGTGAAGCTTCTAATCGCCCATGATGCTACGATTCCGACCATCCGAGGGAAAAAGGTGCTGCAAAAGTCACTGTGCAACGCTCTTGAGAATGGCGGTTGTTTTCTATCAGGAATTCTCCTTGACCAAAGCCAGCCCATCAGCAGTGGGAAAAGACAAACGCTGCTCTCCGCCGTCGCCAAATCTGGAGACATTTCACTAGCGAAGACTGTACTCGAAAAGGCACAAATTGATCCTAACGATAGGGATTCAGACGGTTTAACAGTATTGGACCGGGCAGTTGTTAATGGTGACATCACCCTTGTCGATCTGCTATTAGTTCTCGATGGGATTGATCTGAACTCCAGAAACTGGAACGGCGACACTGCGCTAGCAATTGCGATGAAAGAGGTCAGCGACTGTTTATCAAACTCTCTCCGATTCCCGGACAGGAAGCCCTTTGAAACTTGCATAGAGAGATTTCTCCGCCATAAAGATGTTACCACAGCATCACTGGACCCATATTGGCTCATCGATTTTATTGTTGCTTATCTCAACGCTTTTGGAGATCAGAAACTCATAAAGCTTCTCATCCTCAAGGATGACCGTCTCGTCGCCGGTTCCAGGGTGCAGGAAGATGATGCAGAAACACTACTCGAATGGGCTCAACAGAACCAGCACAGGACCATTGTTCGAGCGCTGCGGGAAAAGGAAAAGCGGATGTGGATGACGAACTGAAGTTGGCTAGGGGTGCATGGCTAGCACTTGCCTCAAGGTCTCCGTATCGCTTGTGTACCGTCGCTTGCCGCGACGGCTCCTACATTTCCAACGCGGAGGGGATATCGAGGTGTTTTAGGGTTCGCAGGTGATGGCGTCCGTTCCCGAGGATGTCCAATCCATTTTGTTCCTGAACATCAACTGACTGACTTGAAACATGCGAGCTCGGCCTCGGATCGGTGACAACTTAGAGAAGAAGTCCTTTTTGGATGTTCATCATGCGTCTAGTGTGTAAATAGCATCCTTGCAGCTGCCATCTCTTTAGTATCAAAATGGATCAAGATCGAGTCTTATACTATCGCTTTCGCCCTCCCTACATTGAGTGGAACCTGTAATTGACTCATAGACTACTACAGTAAATGCATAACCAGGTCTAACATGACACCGCGGTCAAAGAATTGGCACATCCTTCGCACCACCGGTCGACGACGTGCTGACCGTCACATCCTTCCAGGCCTCCATCTCCTCCCGAGTCTTCTTCATCTCCGCCTCCAACAACGGGATTGTCTCCGGTCCCAGAAGTAATCTCCCCGGCAGTTGCCTCTCATCCTGCCCAACAAGCACATCAAAGAGCGCCTTGGCGCAAGCATCCGCCTCCGAGAACGACTCCCGAACCGCCGGATGCTTCATATACGCCAACAACCGATTCAGCGGACCGTCAGGTGTATCATACGCCGGATGCCTGGGGACAAACTTTCCATTGCTCCCCAAATTGGTCTTGATGCCGCCCGGCGCAACAATCAAGAACCGAATCCGCCAGTCGGGATGCGTTTCCTTAGCAAAGGCCTCCGTGAACCCACCCAAGGCGAATTTCCCAGCCTGGTAAAACGCACTGCCGGGAAACGCCATGTACCCTCCAATCGAGGAGATCTGCACGATGGTCCCGCCCGCTCCGGCCGGGTTGACCTCGCGGAAGATGCGCACGGCCTCCTGGGAGATGAGAGCAGGGCCCCAGAAGAGGGTGTCGAGTTCGAGGCGCGCGTCGGACTCGGGGATGGCTTCTGTATCGCCCATGAGGGCGTAGCCGGCATTGTTAATGACCACGTCGAGGCGGCCGAATTTGGCCACGGTGGCGGACAGGGTTTCGTGGATGGCTGCTTTTGATGTGACGTCCAGGCTGAGCTTGAGCACATTGGGTCCATCGGGAAGGTAGGAGAGGGTGTCCACGTTGCGAGCTGTGGCCACGAGCCGATGGCCGGCGCTGTGGATGAGGCTTGCAAGGGATTTTCCCAGGCCGGAGGAGCAGCCGGTGACTGTGATGTTAGTTGATGGCTGTTGTATAGGGAAGGTTACGTACTGAACCAGACGGTTGATGAGTCAAGCATATTGATGATTTTAACTATGGGTCTATCGAATGCTATTACTATTATTATTGCACCGGTGAAGCGGACGGTTGTTGCATATATACCCCACGATCCACAGTAAGACTCGAGACGGGGTTAGCGGATATAGACGGACACGTCAACGAATGGCACGGCTTACAGCTGTAAGCAACTGATGGCGTGGCTAAGATAGGAGTGTTCCATCCATAGAGAAGACTATCAGACCGCATTGTCCACCACAGGACCCCACTCTCAGGCGTGCCATTATCCATCCTCGTCCAATAACCGCCGGTATCAACAATGGACACGTATAAGACTTTGAATAGCACTAAGAGTGATTCTTGTCGATGTTATTGGTTTGATATTTTTGTAAGAAGCTTAAGCTATGCAGGCAAATGACCAGGGTTTGGTTGGACTGTTTGTATGCATGACTCATTCTGGCTCATCTTGACAGTTTTCTAGTGCTCGAGTCAGAAGCATGATTCGTCACGTATTGTTTATATATACCTTATCCAGGTAATTCAGGAACTCCACGAATCATCAATTAGGAAAAGATGGAATTGTACAAAACTCGACTTTTTCCTCATCATCTCCCTTCTTCACCAATCACTACTCCTTTATCCGTCCTCGATCCTACCGTCGCGCGCTTTGCTCCAACAGGCGCAATTTGGCTATTCGATAGTTTCCCCGAGAACGTCCCAGAAAGGGAATTCATCGATCGTCTCCAATGCTCCTTTGTGCAAACAATATCGGATTACCCCCAGTGGGCCGGTCAGCTGCAATGGGCTGCAGTTCGAGAGAACGGCCTTCACAGCGAGCGCTTCAACCGGCCCATGGTCGTCTACGGGACGCCTGACGACCCTGGAGTTGAGTGGCGTGTCATCAAACGAGACGACATATCGGTCGAATCGCTAGTCCCTCCAGCCATGGAACGAGCGAGCGTGGGGACTTGGAACGGGGATAATTTCACCCAGAGAGATTTCCTGAGTGAAAGCCCATTGGCATTGCATGATCTGCGTGAATACCAGGGATTACCTGGTATGCAGGTGCAAATCACCTTATTGAAAGACAGCGCATACGCAATTGCAATCCGAATGGCTCATGTCCTGGCCGATGCTCAGACTTTGATGGTATTTGTGCATCAGTGGGCGGCTGCAAGTAGAGCTGCGTTTGGTTCAGAATATACAGAATCATTGATGGGCGCTCCAGTCTTTAATCCAGTACTCTTAGACTCCCATGCCGCCGGGGATATTGATGGCTCAGCGCCGGATCCGGGACTGATTGCGACAGCGCGTGAACTGCCACTGCACCGGTTCGACTGGTGGAAGACGGACGATCCGGGATATCCGAAGCTAATGGTGCCCAATACGCTGAACTCGATGCCTTCGCCTGAGCTGCTGGACGGCATCGAAGTCTCTCCGTCGACATCTGCTCCATGGACGACGTGGGACCTGTCCAGGCCGATCTGCTATACACAAATCCATTTCTCAGGGGAACAGCTAGCAGATATCAAACGCAAAGCGCTAGCGGAAGGCCGAGGGGATATCTCTCGACTCGACGCATTGCTAGCCCACCTCTGGATCTCTATCAACCGCGCCAGGAGTCTCGCCAATTGCCCCGACTCCGTCTTTATGGATCTCTCTATCGGCGCTCGAACACGCGTCTCGCCTCCTCTCGCCGACACGTTCCTCGGATCACCGCTCTTCCTCACTCACGTAGGCACCTCAGCAAAGGCCCTTTGCGCTGCATCCATCGGAACCATTGCCAGCCGAATCCGGCAGACAGTGGCCCTATTTACGCCGGAGAAGCTTGGCGCAATGCTCCACGATGCCGCATACGAGGTCTCACCGCAGCGGCTGTGGCAGGCATTCTTGGGGTCCCGGCATGTCCTTGTGACCTCCTGGCTGCGACTGAAAGTGTACGAAGTGGACTTTGTGGGCGATAGAAGCCGTCCGCGGTATGTGCATGCCGTTTTGCCCAAGCTGGATGGGGAGGTGCAGGTTATGGAGTCGGGGGTTGATGATAAGGGGATGGATGTGGCATTGTATCTGGAGGAAGAGGTCATGGAGAGGTTCCTGGCTGACCAAAGGCAGTTCACGGCGTAGTATCTTGGTATACCTGACACTAATATCAATCTGAAAATTCAGAATATACAGCTCAGATCTCCTTAGTCCAACTTCCTTTACCCCATGGAGCCATTTGAAGCAATCATCACCTCTAGAGCCGGGGGTCTTTACACCTAATGTCAGTATTCTGCCTCACCAGGAGCACGGAGATCAATACCTCTTAGTCAGCGTTTCAAATGAAGTGCTGACGAGCTTTCCACTGCGAGGTCCAACAACAGAGAACAGATACAGCTGGGAGATTGGCTACCATGCCCAATTCATGTATGTCACTGTGAGCTCTACGCAATTCAATTGCCTTCTCAAACTCCTTCCACAGCCACGGCCTCGTCTTAATCACTATCAGTCCCGCTTCGGGTAGGCGGAGGATCCCAGATTAAATACTGTGCAGTATCAACTATCTCTCTTCATGTCAGATTCTCTAGGAAGGAGGTAGGCGGAGTACAAAGTATGCCATGAAAGAGGGAAAGAAAGCCCATTCAGCTATCAGAATCCTAATAGCAATGGCATAGCTGTAAGAATTACTATATCCACTACATATGTACATTCTTAATATGGCCATGGCTCTATCGGCGAGCATGGAAATTCGAGATATTATAACAAATCTCCCGAGGACGGTCATATAATCTTTCCCACAGTCCCACTCACCATCCTCGCCCATTTTTTGAAAACCTTCCAGCCCCGCGTCACATAAAGCAACCTTCATCCCCCCAACATCCTGAAGCCAAGGACATGGGTTTTTTCCAACCACAATTGTAGGTCCGCAATAGGTGAGCTATAGTCGTAGGGATATCTCGGATGTGACAACTATGGTTGGTGCTTTTACTTCGTATTGAGTCACGGTTCTGAGGAGAAACGAGGAACAAGATATCAATCATGATTCATGCATGAGACATGTTAAATATAAAATATCATTGGTTGGCTGCTAAAAGCGCTTGGGGAAGATCGGCGGGTCGGGCCGGCCAAGCGGAACCAGATCACCAAGCTATATCTTCTAATGTGCTGGAGATACAGGGTGCGTATTTTGAATTTCCAGTCATAAATACAGCTAACACAGTGATTAGAAGAAGTACGGATATCCTACATGCAAATATCTCTTGATCCGGCTTAAGGCTACAAAGTCGATGTCCAAGGCATCCTCCGAGGAACGGATTCTCTCTACCAGCTACCGTTGGTTCATGCACGACAGAGGGTTCCACAATAGCCAGGGACCAGTTATTACATGAGCAGCACGTTGACGAAAGGCAAATGATTAGGAAAGGCCCGTTTTTCGCGCTTCAAACCAGAAGCCGCAGATCACACTCCCTACATAGGTTCTCCACGATCCCTACAGTTCTGGCTTGATCTCGCGACAGCCGGATGATGCTGGATCCATCATTCAATCGATACAGTCCTTTGGCAGACGGATTTGTCCAATGTCACACATACACATCCCTGCCGATCGCAACGTACCGCAGAGGCGACATCTCTTCCCTGTCTTCTCGTAGCCCTAGATGGTACGAAAACAGTTCATGAACAAGTGAAATTCAGGACTTCTCTTGCTCCCTGTCCAGTTCCCGGTCTTTCTGGAACAGCCGTTCTTTTTCCTCCTCACTCATATTGTGGAGATGGTACGGCTCATGCCACGGCTTTTCAAGATCGGACAAGAAAGCCGCCAGATCTGGCCAGGGAAGATGAAGGGTATGGAGATTGGGCAGACGAGGAAGGACATTTGTCTTCAGGACGTCAAATTCGTCTCGATTATGGATTGGAATGATGAGTTCCTCTAATGCTGTACACCGGGCGACAAAGTGTGTCAGCAGTTCCCGCGACTTGTTGAGCATCTCCTTAGAATTGTCCCAGGCCACGGGCCCTGAGTAGCAGAGTCGACGCCATGCGTATCCAGTCTTGTCCAATGGAACCGAATAGATGGGCTCGCCCACAAATTCAGGCATGTGGAATTCATGCAAGTATTCATTTGCAAATTCGGGACTATCCGGTTGTAGTGTGGTGCCGTAATCCAGTACATCGAGGGCGTCTAATCTCAGAGGTGATTGGATCTCCTGCAGGAGCTGGACAAGGCGTAGAATATCCGGGCCGAATCGCTCCACTGAGATCCTTCTGAGGTTGGTCGCATGTTGAAAAAGGGTCGGGTCTATAGGCTTGTAGGGAACAACCGGGCTCTGGAAGGGAAAGTAGTGCATATTATCGAGCCGTAAGGAAGTGAGATGAGACAAGTCCGTCAAGTCATCGAGATAACCCGCCATATCAAAACGCGGGTTACTCCATGGCATCGTGCCGATTCCCAGGTGTAGGCTTTTAAGCTGAAGAGCCGGCTGCTCAAGTTGCTGTCGTCGCGAGCGAAAGTCGGAGATGAGCCTGCAAAGGAAGTCGTTGTCCAGTCCGGCTTCGGGAACGAAGCTGAGCCCTAGATCCCTTAGCCCTGGGGATGCAAGCAGGACTTTGACCACATCAGAGGTTTGGTCCCTCCATTCACGTTCTCCCAGGCGATGAAGCGCGAGTGACTGAAGGTTCTTAAACTCGGGTAGTCTCCATCTGAAATTACAGCGTGGATTTGGGTGGTGATAGAGCAGGATGGTCTCCAGATGTTGGAGGCTTTGAAGTTCATGCAGAACACTGTTGCTTTCCAGGCCATCGAGCGCTTGATCCAGGAGGCCGACCCAGTACCCACAGAGTCTAGTAGTCCATGCTTTTAGTAAATGTGGTCATTCATCACCGCTGTACGGAGTAGTGTGCATGGAAATTCCTTGGCGGGGGTTTCGTGTCGAACCTACTTAAATGATCGTAATCCAGATTCCAGGCATCTGTCGTAAAGATGTAGCCAACAGCTGAAGGAGCTCCTTAGTATTACTAACATCGCACAGATCACTCAAGAACTCGATATGATATGCTTGTGTTGGTGCTAAATGACCCGAGTTGACCATCCGGCGCCATTTCGCGATGGTGGGGCCATCGATAACAACCTGCTTGTAAAGGAGGGGCAAGCAGATGGCGTGAAGTCGCTTGGAGACGCATGACAGCACCGCCAGCGTTGCGGGACTAAGTTGAGCGGCGATAGCGCAAACAATCTCTTCTGGTAGTCTGGTCAGCATGGTAGACAGGAGATGGTTGCGTCGATATAAAATTGTGGTCCAGAAGGGTCAAAGCGGTCCAGGCTGATTGCCAAGCGCACTACTACTGGTGGAATTTAATTTACTCGTCAGCAAGGTCTCAAATCTGCTAGGGTTCGGGGTATTTCCCTACTGTAGGTAAGTTAGGTTGCATCTATCCAGATTGCTTGGATAGCCGAGTCTGTAAACGGCTTAGACTTCATAAATGGTGGCCACGAAGACGCTAATCTGGCAATACTTTGACCTAACAGTAGCCAAGATGTCTTGGCTTTAAGGGGCTTTTGTAGATCTGCAAATTCGGTAGGTAGGATGCCTTTATCCGGCTCTTTTTCCCCTCGATATCACTATGAATCAAATGTTCATACCGACATGATCCATGGAGCATCCGAAATTCATAAAGGTAAGGTTTTACTTCAGGAGCGTTTCACTCAAGGTACATTTCAAATTCTCGACATGGTTTGTCGAACAAGCTAAAAGCGTATGGGCTAGTATTCACAGAGAGATGTGTGTATTCCGAAGGCTGAAAAGGATTCGTTTGTCTCGACATGGTTTAACATCCTGGATATTGTCATACATCCAACCACTAAGCCAAAAAGGCGTCCAGACAACCATCTCTAGCTAGTAGGGATAGTAGTAGTAGAGGCAACACAGCAGGGACACAACAGATATTATATAATCCGGACTAGGGAACTTCGAATAGTCACCAACATAAGTCATCCGGAGCTGATCAAAATTGCATCCACCGCGGCTTTTGCTGGCAAGTAGACTACTGGATCGATGGAATGCACTTAGAGGTATCCTAACCACAAGGTGGCTACTTTCCATTGCCCCAGTGCCCTCGCACTTATTCTTGCATCGATCATCTGGTCGCGCCACGGTCGTTCACATAGGTCTGCCCTGATTATCACTCAACTTGGCTGATTGGACGAAACCAGCCCTGCATGCTAAGCTGACTGGGACCGTGCAGATCTACCCCAGCAACCGTACGAGTGCGACATCTGTCAGCGGGGTTTCTCCAGGCAGTACATTCATCATGCATCACAGCAATAGATAAGTTGGGACACTAGACCCCACGGCCAACCTTCCAGAGACCTTCTCCAGTGTCATCAGCCCATTATCGCGGTCGAGTTTCCCGCGCCTATCGGACATATGCTATAGCAAAGCTTAAATGCGACGAGGCCAAGCCATGTGTCCGCTGTGTGTATCCCCTGCGAATCCATCCAGGATTAGTGAACTCTACAGCACCCAGGAAAGATGCCTCTAAAGGTTAGTAATCCAACTCCTGCTAGGTCACAGGGGAAGGATTGCTTCCTTACTATAGATTCAGAGGACCCTCTAGGGCTTCTACTCCCTGGGCAAACGTCACATCGAGGTTGTAGAACGCAGGATATACTCAATTTCTCTTCCGACAGAAGTCTGGATCTGACCTGATCAAGGATAGCGCACTCGAAATACGTTCTCTGGGTCCCGATTACGTGCACAACTTTCAAATAGATAAGGACCGACTGATTTAAATTGCAAGTGGATGATCGATAAATACATCACCAGCAGAATCGAAGCAGACACTGTCCATCCATGGCCTCCGCTCCACACCCCTTCCATGAGAGGAATACTCTCGCATCAGCAGGCTGTCGCCCATTCAGTTCTGGGCAACACACTGGCTGGTGATCTGCACCACAGTCAGAGTAGAGGAGGACGCAGCAGAGCTCACAGCAACGGACGCGGTGCCTCAGCTGACTCCCTTCCACACGTCATCCCCAATAGGCGTGTCCAGAATATCCGTCTCTACCTTGTCCGCAGAGTCTGTCCAGAGGTTGAGACCGTTGAAAAGCGTCATGCTGTCGTTGTAAATACCGGGAATCTGGTACGTCAGGCTCGAGGCCCCGCTGCCGGAGCCGGTGACCTTGACTTGGGCGCAGCTGTGCCGGTCACGTTAGAAAGCTTGTTTAGGCGGGGAAGTCATGATCCAAGCTCACCTGTAGAAGAACTCGGCCTCGTTGCTTTGCGCGCCATGAAGACCCACATGTTCAGCACGAACGAGATACTCACCGGCGGGAGTCGCTTCGGGGATCTGGAACTCAAACTCCGACATGCCGTAGGTGCACCAGGCACCCTTGGTGAGGTCGCCACTCTCATCACACAGGGTCTTTTCCCAGATCTTGAACCATTCGCCATCGCCTTCATACTCCTGGACATTTCCAGTTGGCGCCTTGGACATATCTGTGGGGAAAGTCTCGTTAGCATCAATATGATATCCGCAGGAAAGGGCAACCGTACAAACTTGGCCTGGTCCGGGATGCGCAATCGTGCCGTCGTAGAAGAGCTTCATCGCGATCGTATCGCCGGCCGCGACCTCTGCAACCTCGGTCTTGGCGGCGTTGCTGAACGAGCCCAGGTTACAGCGGAAATCGCTGTCACTGGGGGTCAGATTGTCGTAAGTGGAGGTCCACTTGGTGGGCATGTAGCATTCACTCCGAGTCGTCTGCCGAATGTACTGCCAGTCCTGCGACTCCTCGCCGTTCAGCACGAGTTTGCTGAAGATGTAGTGCGCAGTAGCAGGGCGAGCCAGCGCCGCCGTCAGGGCAACTACCGTGGGAATGTACTTCATTGCGATTCACAGTGGTCAACTCTAGCGAAGGAAGCTTGAAATGAGAGAGATTATATATGTGCGCCGGGCAACCTGTCCGAGTAATTATCTCCGAGCTCCGTGGCCTCTTTTCTATCCTGCTCTGACGCCCCACCAGTCTATAACCCAGACCAGCGGGCTGTTTCAAAATGGACGATTGTCGCGGCTATATGAACCATCCCACTTTCTCAATCGGTCTCACTAATAACCACCTCGAGAATGTCTAGTCTATGCATCGGCCTTGGGCAGACATCAGTTCACTCAGATATGGAAATAGACAAGACAAAGAGGGTTGTCGAACGACAAAGCTCAGTTTCAGTGAACTTGGACCGAGTTCGGTCTAGATGCCCTCGCCAGCATCAATCACTAGCTGTTTCATATATCTGACTATCGCCGATGCGCTGCGTGGCCGTCTTCCGTCCTACTTGATAAGCCTGGGTTGACCGACCCCTGTCCGATATGACGGGGGAGATGTGTTCTAGGCTGAACATCGAGTTACGCGTAGAGTTCAGGCAAGACCATCAGATCCCTTGTTCTCCTTAGGCAGAATGAGGGTGCGCATAATCGTTGCAACTGAGATTCCTCCTGCTCGAGAAGCATGGATGTCAGGTATCCCGCGTTTCCTACTTGCAAGTTGATGGCTACCTACACACAATTGCCTCAACAAATCGGAATCCGGCAGCTAGGTTAGATATATCAGGCAGAGTGCGGTTGAGGGCGAATCCTGAATCAGAGCATCACCATCAAAGCAAAATAAAAGAGACAAAAAACATACGACAGCTGGGATTCGCTGGTGGTTCACCCACCCAACTACTAACCAGCCAGCATGTGGCTTAAACACAGTCAAAAGGTTGGTGGGTGCTGCTGTCACATAACGCTGCTTTTAGTCACGCAACCCTGGGTGAGCTTAGGTGAGTGCAGAATAGACAGGGTGAGTGGTCACCCGCAAGCACCCGAGGTCACCCAGACTTAACTAATTAAATTCTCTTTGACCCTCACAGGTCTTTCTTTCAATGTTTCATTGGCTATACCTTGTTTCTTGGCGGAGCACAGCCATGATGATCATTTTAGGCAGCAATCAACAGTGTGCAGCTCAGACTCTGCACTAGACCTACTTAGAGAACTTTTTTCCTTGATACATTGTGACTGCTAAGGGCTTATCATCGGGCCGTCAGAGGAGGCAGATAGAGGCCTTAGTAAGAAAGGGTAAGGATGCAGATGCAAGAGTATGAATCAAAGAGGGTCCTAAGAACCAAGTTAAGGCATAATTATTAAACTCTATACCAAGTTTTATTTAAAGAGTCGTCCATTTAATAACCTTGCCACTTTAGCTTTTGCCCAACAGACAAGTTATACAAGCACAACGGATAATCTATCCGCCGCCCAAGGCAGCCTCATTGTGGCTGTGCACGACCAGACCTTCAAACAGGGGGCGGGTGGAACTTCAGGAATGGGTTTAAAGAATTAGACAAGGTCAAACAGGACGGGGAGTTTATTTACCAGTACGGATACAGCTGGACCTATCATACAAGCCTGATCGCACACAGCCACAGTTACACTCTTGCCATCACAGCTCTTCCTTCCACCTGCGCTGGAGGCGCGTCAGCTCATCAACTTGGGTGACTAATACACAGGATACCGCAGGTGACACTAGCGAAAGGACTCCTTAACCACATTCATCTTCACACAGCTTATCAGCTTATGCAAGAAGCTGATGGATAGCAGCAGTTCGCCAGACTACAAAGCTCTCTTCTTGCGGGAAGTAGCATTACGAAGAAGGGTGGAGGAGCAACGGGAACTGGAAAGGAGGAGGCGCGAACAAGCAGAGGACCGCCAAAGGCAGGCAGAAGAGGGCCAGAGACAAGAGAGAGAGCGCAACCAACAAACTACCTTTGAAGAGTTCATTCGATCCTGCCACAGTCTTCTCTCCCGACCATTGAGAGTTGAAGCCCCTTCTCGCTCCACAACGGGAACGATTCCACCACCCACTGGCAAGTACTGTCCGACACGCCTTCGTTTCTGGGCGGACTGCCCAGTTAGACAACAGGAAATCTACAACTCTGTTTTGAGGTATCTGCAGTCAGATGTGGTGGCGCCCCGACTTTTTTCACCCATTGTTGAGCTGGAAGGTCTGGGTCGACGATTCGCTCGCCGGCCAATTAGCAGTGAACAAGATCTTGAGAGCTATGAGCGATTTGCAGTGGAGGACCATGTTCATGACATAATCACAGAGTTATGCAAGCTGCCGGACGCTCGAGAAGAATTCCAGCTGGGTAATGGTATTCAGTTCGATAATCATGCCAATGCGCTGGATGCAGTTGAGGGTGAATCAGCAACCGGCCAGCCATCGACTTCACGGCCCTCGAGACCTGACCAATTTTGCATCCATAGAACTGACGGCAATACCACTACCTTACTGACAACAGTTGAATACAAACCACCTCATAAGCTCTCTGTGGAAAACCTCCGTGCGGGACTCCGGCCGATGAACTTTTGGGATGAAGTGGTCCAACCTGAAACTATCCCCACAGACAAGAAGGAAAAATTAAAGTATAATGCAGAGCGACTGGCAGGGTCTGTGCTAGTCCAGGAGTACCATGTGATGATTCAAGAAGGGCTTGAATATTCCTACGTAACCAACGGCCTCGCGCTAGTCCTACTTCGCGTGCCTTATGATGATCCAAGTACACTTGATTTCTATTTGTGCGAGCCCAACATGGATGTTTGTGCGGACGATGACTCTACTTTCCAACAACCGAGAACAGCCATTGGAAGAGTCCTCTGTATCTGCTTAATGAGTTTTTCATCGACCCCCCGCAGCCAGGAGTGGAGAAATGCTGCACAAGCAAAGTTACATGTTTGGAAGACGAACTTTGAATATACACGATCTCAAATCCCAGAGGAGGAGCTGCGGCAGACGCCTCCGCGGTCTGAGTATACCAGTTCTGAATATACAGGCTCCGAATATCTGCCGTCGTCCTCCCCCGTACGAACCTCCCCAGGCAGAGGTCGCCGAGTGCCTACCCGATCCCAGGTCAATTGTGCTCCGCCAGATACAGCGCGTCGATCAGAATTAATGGATTCTTCAGACTCTGATTCTCAAGCTGCTCCGGGACGGAAGCGAGGGTTCAGCGAGGTTACCTCGTCTCCCCCTATCCAGCGATTGACGCGCCAAAATCATACTCAAAATTGCCAAGATTATGGGTCTCGTCAACATGCAAATATGTTCTGCACGCAGCGGTGTCTGCTTGGTCTACAGCAGGGTGGCCTATTAGATGATCGCTGCCCGAACTTGAAGTTCCATCAGCAGGGAGGACACGGCAACCGACACCTTATCAACGCAGAGCGCCTGGTGCAGCTAATCAAACTGCAATTGGACACGAATATCGATTGCAATTGCACACCTATGGGGAGATGTGGTGCGTACGGCGCCCCTTTCAAAGTCACTTGTGCTGCTTATGGGTACACTGTTGTTGGGAAGGGAACAACCTCTCAACTTTGGAAAGAAGTCTCCCGCGAAGCAGAAATTTACCGTGTTCTACGACGTGCACAGGGATCGGCAGTTCCAGTCTTCGTAGGAGCTATTGATTTGGCCAAGATTTACTTCCTACATGGGGCCGGTGAGATTCGTCACATGCTGCTCTTAGGTTGGGGGGGTGAAATTACTACTGCACTCGAAAATGGCTCCGCGCTGCGACGCGAGATATCCAAATCAGTGAAGGAAATTCGCTCTTTAGGTGTTTTGCATCAGGACCTTCGGCCTGATAATGTCTTGTGGAACGCTGAGCTAGAGCGGGCCCTAATCATTGACTTTCATCATTCCATGTTGGTGCGTCGGCCACCTGCAAAACAGACAAGATCCCTAAAGAGACCGCCATACGGTGCAGATATGTGTGAAGCAAAGAGGCTCCATGTACGTTAATGGAATGCAAAGCGCGCGGAGGACTGTCTGGCATGGACTCATCACAGTTATATAAAGCAGGTAGTATTTGTATGATTTTAGGTCCTACATGCCTTTTCTATTTGTGGTCTATATATGCGATATTTTAAGATACTACAATCTCTGCTTATATACTAACATATATATGCCTTTGTTGGCACCTTAAGGATATTATTACAATGTGTACAAGGGAAGAGATAATAAAAGTAATACTATAGTTAGTATAAGTGCCTTAAGAGATGATAATTAAGTAAAGCAGTCTAACTTATATTTCCTGCTTAGTGTCTGCTCCTAGTCCCTAACAAACATATAGGATTCTCACTCATTTAAATATGCTGTTAAGCACTTCCAGAGGCTCGTATCCGCAACAACAAATTCATTTCAGTAACCATCGCAAGTTATCTAGACAATGCCCGCCGCTTGGGGCCCACGCATGAGAAATACTGGCTTTTGTCCTTGGTAGACTCTCCAGGCCCTGTTTCATCCTCTCCCAGGAATGACGAAATCTTCTTGAAATCTTCTTGATTTTTCAGTCGATAGATGCGATTGAACACATCTTGGTCACTGAATGATTGTATTGTAGTCCTGTAGAGAATTGAGATTCACTAAAGAAATGCCTGGTAAATACTACTGCGCGAGAAATCAAGGTCATTTTGGTCATTGAAACCATGCCCAGCGATGAATGCTTTTGCGAAGGACTCTTTCAGGAATAGCTGAATATTATCATAGGTGTGTGGGAGTCCGGGATAGATAAGGAGTATTAATAGAGGAATAGAAGATATAAAAGCCTAATTAATAATGTAAGTTATATTGAAGTCATCATCCATAAAAGTATTCTGACTACTTAGATTAGGATGGTATAGCGGAAAATTAGTGCACTTAAACTAGCTATTATTTTCAGCTAATAAAGGTACCCAGTCAGTCAGGGAAACCTGACTAGAGCATAGTCAAGATGATTTTCTGTGCTCTCATTCTTCAATCCAACAGTAACATAATCATTCCAGCAACCAGTAGCAATTCTGTAGTCCTTGTAACTTCCATATTCTTGCGGGACAGGTACTGGAGTACACATCTCAAACATAAGGCAAAGTTAATACTGCAATTTCTCGCTATCGGCACCTGAGCTTGGAGGAGACAGTGGCGCATTTTATCTACAGTGAATAATTATCATGTTATCTACTTTCCACTTCCTGGCAGAACTACAGGTGTACGGTTGCATTCCAGTGATACTCGAGAGGTGGCCATGAGTCAATTTTAATTGCAATCGCATGTTTTTAGTTAGATCGGTTACCATAGACCACGAGCAAGGGAGCATTTGCTTCCAAGGCAGAGCAGACTACATAATGGATCTAGGGATATTCAACCTTAACATCCAAAAAGATGAAACTAATAGGAACAAGTCAGCTGGAGGCGGAGCAGTTGCTTCCCATTTGATGAACCAATGACTCAGCAGGCCCACAAAGCGCCACTAACTTGCTTGTGGATATGGCAACCCAAGATATTACATATATATATCTTGCCTTCGCTCGCCTCTAAAAACACTTATTATTCCACATCTGCATGATACTACTATTTCTTTATCTTTCTCTTTCCCTATTAATAAAGAATATTCTATACATTATAACTCCTACTTCTATATCTTTACAGCGACCAGCGTTCAGGTGAATCAGGTCATATTAATTACTAAGCTATGGATGATGCTATTTATCTATACTAAACAGCTTTTAACTAACTTCTTTATGAGAGCTTTAGACTTTAGTTATCTTATCTTAATACTACTAAAACTACACCCCTACTTCTATTTAAGTATATTAATTTTAAAAGGCTTCTAAAGTAAACCCCTGTAATGGATTCAGCATAGTTTCTATGCTGCTGTGTAACAGAGTTAGTATAGTTTCTGTGCTACTATTCCTTAATTCTATTATGCTTATAGATGTCTGTGTTTAGTATACTGCTTTTAGTTACCTATATTCATATCTTGTGATGCTTAAGTACTACTACAAGCATATTATATTATTAATAAGGATATATATAGACCCCCTTATCTGATAGGTTAGAAAGATAAGGATTAGTCTTATTATTAACTAATCTATTATTCTACTATACTATTTTAGTCTAATACTTTATCCCTTATTATTTCTAAGGCTTATCTAGTTAATAGGCTTATCTACCCTATCTAGTAGATTATCCTTATAATTTCTAATCCTTCCTTTTTAACTACCTAAGTATTAGTCATAATACCTACTAATCTTAATTTATTAGAGATTACTATTCCTATAGCCATGCTAGCTAAATAATAGGGATCTATTAGTACTATACTAATTAAGACTAGTAATACCTCTACCCCTTCTAATTAATTTAGGAAGTTAAATAATAATAGAATTTAGTAACTTATATAATATATTACTAAGCTTAAATAGAATTAAGAAATTAGGAAAAATACTAAGTTTATTAAGTATAAACTAATTACTTACTAAAATAGTACCTATATCCTATCTAAAGATAAATAAGAGGTTAAGTTTAAGAACCTTCTTACTTTTACTATAAAGTACTCCTTCTAGAAGAGGGAAGAATAGATCTAGAATATAGAATATATATTTTAAGAAGCCCTAAAGAAGTATAGACCTAATAAATTTAAAATTATTATTATAATCTTATAAATAGAATTAATCTATAGGCAGAGATAATATAGTAAAGTTAGGGAGATATTAATAGAAGATTACTAAAATACTAAGTATTCCTAGTAGATCTTTAAGGAATAGATAATTAACCTAATTTAGGATACTATAACTATTAAATTAAAAGTAATTATATAATTATATAATACTAATTAATACTCTAATAAAGACCCTTAAGAATTTTATATCTATTTAGATATATTAGAATAGCATTTCCCTTAATAAAGTAAAAAGTAATAAGTACTAAACTTCTTTAATTATCTTATAATAGAGTTATAGACCTATATATAAGAGCACTTATCTAACCTATCTAATACTAGGAATAAAATAATCTCTTAAGTATTAAAATACTAGACCTTACTCTAATAAGGATAAAAATAAAAGAAGAAGGACTCTAGGAAGCCCTAGGAAAAAAAGTCCTAGGAAGATAATTTATTAAAATATTTCTATCCTAATAATAATAGTAGTTTAAAGTCTTAATAAAACTACCTTAATAATAATAGTAAACCCTTAAAGTACTATAAGTATAGTAGTAAAGAGTACCTAGCTAATTAATATACTAAGAAGACTACTAAAGTCTAACTACTTACTATAGAAAATAATAAGAGGTTAGAGTAAAACCTATATCTTTAACCTCTTATCTAGAAGTAGAAATAATTTATTATTTTAATATTCTAATATAACTAGGTAATAGCCTCAGAATATATATAGACTTAGATAGTTATACTAAAGTTAATATTATTAGTATTACTTTTATAAAATTATAGAAATTATAATAAGCAAAGCTAACTACCCCTATTATTAGGGCTATTAATGTTGGAAAAGGAGCTATGGTATAGTTAATCCTTAGTTATACCTATGGGTCTACCTACTATGGTACATCCTTACCATGGTTGACCTTTGACTATAACCATGGATCAATCAACCATGGATCATCTAGGGTCAACCATGGACCCATGAATCATGGATCACTATATCTATAACCATGGGTCTATTAATCATGGATTGTTATAAGTCTATAATCTCACTATGATATTAAGTAGTAAAGAACTATCTAAACATTAAATAATCTAGACTAGGAGGAATCATCTATAAATGCACCCTTGATATCCCCTCTATAGTTAGTTAAAATTAATAAGGAATTAAGAAATCAATTCTCCTTCTACTATCTTATTCTATTCTATTATACCTACCTAAGCCATTAATTCCCCTTATACTAGTGATTTTCCTTTGTTATTTATATATATATAACTCACTAGTATTCCTTATCTTTTTCACAGGTTATGAGCCTGGCCTTGCTCTAAGGCTATTCTTTATACTAAGTCTAACTTAGTAACCTATGCTATTAATTATATATTAATTAATATCCTTCTATACTTATATACTAAGTATAGAAATATATTATTTAATAAAACTTATCCTGAGCCTATAGAAGCTATATTTAATATGGCATCTATTAATAAGATTAGCTTACTAAAGTGTGATATCAACAGCAGGCATATGGCTTTAGAGAAGCCATATCAGATATGCAACAATATCTAGTAATTATTATTACTATTTATATAGTTAGTTAGACCTTATATTCATTCTTAGCTTAGGTTAAAATATAAAAGAAGACTAGAATCCCTTAAAGTTAATAAAATATATATAGGGTAGCCACTAGCCTACCCCCTACCTTTATACTCTTTAAAGACTCTATATCCTTTATAATTATAAATATCTTATCTAGTAGTATATCTAGATTAAGTAAATATATAATACTTAATTCCTAGGAAGGTTTAAAACCCCTTATAAAGGATTAATCTAAATTATAATAGCCTTAGTCTACTAACCCTTAGGAATACTATTAATAATTTAATTTTAATAAAATCCCTTATATTAATTATCCCTAATTTAATAGAAAATACCTTAGATTAATAGTTTTCAACCTTCTTGGACTGATTAAGATACTTAAGAGAGTAATAATTTATTATTAGGATATTCTTATTAACTCTTTTCTATAGTAATATTATAAGTTATAGATATTATAGACTATTAGAGTCTTTTAAAATAATAATAGATATAGAATTAATAACTTAACCTTAAAGAAAGATAAATTAGAAGTTATTAAAGTTATTTTAATAAGTTTAAATTAATATTAATAATTATTAATCTAACTTCTACTCTTAATTAGATATTATTCTTTACTTAATAAAATAGATAATATTAAATCTATATCTTCTAATATAAAGACCCCTTAAACCTAAGCTACTAATTATAGTAATAGCTTTAAGATAGAATATATTTAACTCTAATAGTAGTTTA